AATGAGCTAATGTCGATAAACAATCGCATGAAAAACGATTTTGATTTTTATGACAGTGATATGGTTAAATTTCCACGTTTTCCACTCTATAAGACAGGGCCCCAACCAATTGAATTTCCTATGGTTTTAAATGCCAAGTACGTATTGAGCAGCGCATGGAATTGTTTCTAAGAATATGGTTTTTAGGATCTTTGTAGAGCTACCTACACAGCTGGCCAACTCGGATCGGATTCATCACTTCATCAATCCCTTTGACCGGATCAAGTTCAGAAAGCTGCGGCATCGTTTCAACGAGTGAGTGCTGCAGAGAAGCCAAAACCTTGTTCAGTTTTTATTGCCTTTATTTTCAGGTCGGTTCTGTTCCATCTTCATCCGCGTCTGCGTCAATTGGTGCAGCAGGAGATCAGCAAGCGCAGCTGGGCGAACCATCATCAGGAACAGCAGCGGCGCAACTTATCAGAGCAGCAGCGCCTGACCCTCTACCTGGCCATGCTGAAGCACAAGGTGTATCCAAATTACTTCCAGTTCAGGGACCAGTTCTACTACCATATTCGCAACATTGACTTCTTCGAGTTCATGGCCATCAAGTGCAGCGAGAAGGCCAATCCCGAACATTACCGTGAGCACATCGATGAAACAGAAGAGTCCACTGCACCGGCAGCAGTACCCACAAAGAAGAAGAACAAGAAATGCTTGTGCCCCAAGTACGTCAAGTCGCTGCAATAGCAAATACGAGTACCATGCCCACCTACTACTTACGCCTACACAAGTCGAAATAAAGCTGCGTACAACCAAAGACAACATAACTAGTCTATTTATCTATTTATATTGTCTTTGGTATAGCTATGTGTTCACTCAAACATTTATTTCTTTTATTCACAATTTGGGCATGCTTTTTTCATTCATATAACCGTATGTCAGACCATAATAGACTTTTCAAACTGACTAACTGCAAAAAAATTAGAGAAAGTATTAAGCTAATGAGCTTTTTCACTTGCTCTTGGATTTAAGTTCATAAGAAGTCGATGTTGTTTCGTAATATACATATTGTTGCATGCGAAGATATCGATAGGTGATACCCCATAGAAGCGGTGAGGAGGAAAGAAGTTCGAACATAGTGGAAAGGCCAAAATTTAAGGGGAAAAGGTTAGCAAGAGTGGCGGCGCCTGGTCCTGGAGAGTGAGACTTCCGCGCGCTCTCCGGAGCCGTTATGAGAGAAGATTTCCGATGTCATCCCATAACGGAGTCCCGAAGCCAACTCACCCACACCCCAAAGAAAGAAAGCCGCCAGCAGTCCGAATCAGGCCATGCCCTTGAGAAGAGAGCGATGGGGATCAGCGGTCCGGGAGCATTAAACAGAGCAGCTAAGCCAAGAGGGGGTTCAGAGAAAAAAATTCCCGCAACGGAGGAGCATGCGCGCCGGACATAGTGATTTTGTGATTTTTTTTGTGGACATCACCCTGAAAAAAAAGATAAATAAATCTGTGATTCCAGGGGATCCAGATCAGTGAGAGACCAGGAACCAGGACTAGCGGGACGGGAAAGAGACCCAAGAAGCATAAGAGTGAGTCCGCTCCAAAGGAGGGAGTAAAGAAACCCCAAATTTATTTTTTTTGTTGGCCAATCCGCAGGGAATAGGTCACAGCTCCGCCATCCTGGCTTGCTTTTTGCTGGGCTCGTAGACACAAACCTTGTCACGTAGCGCGTTGCCCATTATTTATTTTTGTTAGACGTCTCCATTTATATGTATATGTTAATCCCCTAATTTAAGTCTGCCCATATTATATCTATATGCAACTTATTTATATTTATTATATTAATTATTTCGATTTAGCTATTTATTTATTAACCGCCCGTAGTGGCAGGCTTAGTGTAGCAGTGTGTAGAAAGTGTAGAAATTGAAGTGAAAATTATAACGAAGAAAATGAATTGCTAAGCGTTTCATATGGGGCGAAGAGGAGCCACAGCAACGAGAGGGTAAGGCTGCTGCACATAGCAGGGAGATCCAAAACGTTGTTATTCAGATCTCAGGTAGGGTGGGTGCGTCGGGGGTAAAAACATCGACACCTCGACCTTGTCCAAGTCTGTGTTGAGGGAAGTTACTGTAATATTGATTGTCGAGTAGAGTCCGTTTGCAGTTTTCTTTTTTTGTCGGTTACTTTTGTTGTTTCAATTTGTTCGAGATGTTCAATTAGTTGGTATATTGTGCGACCTGAGGGCTTGGGAAGTACCCAGCCCTGGGATGACTGGCTAGCCGGCCTTGCCCCGAAGAAAACAAAGGTTCGTAACAATATACAAGTATGTACTTTATGAAGTTTATATATTACGCGGCAGTGGTAGTGGCCGAAAACAATAGAAAGTTGTTGTGTAGGTGGATGCATATATAGAGCGCGATTCGAATGTCTGTAACTGCAAGATCGTATGCAGAGGCAAGATCAGATCAAGACAATAGAAATTAAGGCGTTAATGATGACGATCAGCTCAAGACTGACTAAAGAAAGAGAGTTTTAGAGAATCTCGGGGCTGCTGCTAAGCCGAGCACGAACGATAGAGCGCGAAAGAACAGCTAAGATATCAATACACAGGTAACTTCAAACGGCTTTATTCCCCCGACCTTTACCTGGAAATTGCCACAACGTTTGATTAATTTTCAATAACTGATCATTTTCAGCAAGCACTTCAGAAACCACTTTCATCTTTACCTGAAGAGTGTATTTTGTCTTTCATTTCGTTGTTGTCATCGGCTGCCACTTACAACTGGGGGAAATTATCGAGGATTGCACAGATCCGCGATACAAACTTCCTGCCTTAATTCTATGTTATGGTCTTCGTATCCCCTGGCGAGCGAGTTTTTCCTTTGCACCTGATGACTTTGCTGTCGATTCACAACTGATCTGATTTCAAATGACAATCATATGCTAAAATCTCAATGTATGGACAGATCTGCCTCCGATTGACTTCGACTGCGATCGAGGAGAAGCCCTTCTAAAGCTATGTTTGTAGCTATAAGCCCAGTCGTGATAAGAACTTGCCGTTCGCCTCTTCTGCCACGGACTGAAACACGTCTTCTTTGTTTGTGGCGTAGGAGATTTATTATACATTTAGTTGATCAAAATTACAAATTACATTTAAAGGAACATGTTGTCAGAGCTCAGCAGACTAACCCACACTTACTGGTCACCGCCGTTTGCAGCTGTCAGCTTCCCTGATTTCAGGATCTTGTCGACGGGAAACACATCTATGTAAGATTTGTAAGACGATCAGACAGATACGACATTTCGCAAGTCTATATCCATATGTGAAGATGATGATTATATTCTTGTAATTTTCTTGTAATATTAATATTGAACTAAACTTAGAAATTCATCTATATCCATATGTGAAGTTAATGATAAATGTATGGGAATATACTTCTAAAATGAATACTTATTTAAACTTAGAAATTCATCCGTAGATGGATTTGACTGGGTTGTATGCAAATCTTTGTTCTGCAAATCTTAATTCTTCCATAGAAAATCGGCGACGGCTGCGGTACGTCTAGTTTCCTTCAGCACATGGTTCTACAGAGCGCTTGGGGTAAATCTCGAGACCACTTCTGAATTCGGCAATGGCACTGTTCATGACTTCTAATTCGTGTTCGTATTCCACTTCGTATTCGACATCGTCTTCCTCTTCGACATCGTCCTCCTCTTCGTATTCGTATTCGTCTTCGTCCTCCCCTTCCTCTTTGACATCGTCCTCCTCTTCGTATTCGTATTCGTCTTCGTCCTCCCCTTCGTCTTCGACGTCGTCTTCCTCTTCGTCTACTGTATCTGACGGTTGGTGTCCTATGACATGAATAGACAGTTCGCGCCAATCGGTATCGAATAGGAAGCGAATGACATCCGATTTGGTTAGAGTGCGCAACACATCGGCCTTTTTCTGTCTACGACCGAATATATAGTCCCCGCCGATGATCTCGCGAAAATTCTCTGCCACCTCATCCAACAGAGTAAGTGCAGGGGCAAGTCCCCAATGGAGAAGGTCGTCTACCCAGGATGCAAAGCATTTGGCCTCCATTTGCATGGGAATCATACAAACCTTACAGCGAAATACCTCAATCTCGTTCTGCATTTGTTTGGCGCGGTCCTCTTCAAAAGTCTCTTTCAAGTTTACCGTAAGGGTATAGCCGACAATGCCGTTTTTGACGTGGACCCAGCCATTAATCTCTTCGCCGAGTTTCTTGAGATACAAGTCCGGGCTATTGAACAACGTATTCAAGAGGTCGAGTATGGCCTCCACGCGTAAAGAGTTTGCTTCGATTTGGTAGAAGTTCGTGATAGTAGTGGTTGTAGTGTGCAGGCAGGCGGTGTCGTAGCAGAAGACTGGGCGGTGCTGCGGAAGCTTTACGATGCGATTCTCTACGAGCCGATGATCTTTAATGGGCTCGCATTTCAACAGGCTGAGTACCGAACTGATCACCTTGTGGACTGACTCCTCCGTGTAGTTTCCCTGTACGAGGGCCTTGATGTACATCTCTTGCGGTAACTTCTGGGCAAATACCTTGAGATCCTCCATGGTGATGTCTTTAAGGGACTTGTACTGGTCAATTGTGGCCCATGGATTTTCTCCAAGCACACGGGCGAGGATGTCCCTAAAATCACAGATTATAATTCGAAATGCAGATATAATATGGAGATCACTTACGTTGCTAACTGGGATGGACATTTCAGTAGTTTTAAGTAGGATTCTCCCTGCATCTCGAGGTAGGTGGTGAGCAAACATTCACAGAGGGTGGCGCCCACACTGACCATACCTTCGACAATGGCCTCCACAATCAGATGGAGCTTTTCATTGTAGCCCTTCACAAATAGCCGCAAACCATTGTCGTAAACCATGAAGCAGTAGTGGTGTGGTGTACTCGGTGCCGAGCCACTCCTCCCGCTTGTCTTATGGCATGCCCTCGCACGGCTCTTGCGAGGTAATCATTAGATTGAATTTAAAACTGTTCAGGTGGCTGATCAGGTACTGATCAGTACGGACAGGTGCTGCTCGTCGGTGTCGAAGTAGAGCTCCCTGGCGGTGAGTATATCCTTGGGGGGATAGTATTTGCTTTTGAAGACCAGTTCATCGACATCGTGTTTATCGATACGGTCAGGGAGACGAAACTCTGCGACCTTACTCTTCTGCTGCTGTTCGTACAACTGACGCAAGGAACCACTGGAACAGTTGGAGAAGACCTTCAAATAGGCAAAGGTGGCGGACAGAACCTGATCGATGTGCTGGAATCCCTCGTCGGTGAGGCCAATGTCCACTTTAAAAAATGAGTGCATTGAGTGTAGATTGAAGCCGGTCTCGTCTATGCCAGCATGGAGATAGTGGGCCCAGTGGCGGCGCTCTAGGTATGCGTAGAGACTACCGTTTCCCTTGTACTCGATCAGGTAGGAGAGTAACTTATCCGGATTGCTGTGATAGTACTGACGCATGTTAGGAAGCACCCAGGTTAGCTCAAACTTGCGCCATTTCTCCACGGCCTTCACGAGGAAGACTTGCTCGTGGAACGCCGGACGGAAGGCGTTGCGGTAATCGAACTTGGTCAGGTCGGGCGCTTTGATGTCATTGCGGAGTAGCTTGGAAAAGTGGCGTACCACCATGTTCTCTAGCACATCGATAGGCATGATACCCTGCAGGCACACGTACATGCGATTGGCCGCATAGTTATCGCGCCAGGCATCGTGAAGGGCTCTGTGCAGGGCACTGTCATCGACTTTATCCTTAAGCGATTTCATGTTACCCCAGTTAAAGGAGCCATGCGGATAGCCATCGGTGGCCAGACTGGCGAGCAGCTGGTTGCGACGCAATACATCTTTTTGCACCTTCTGCTGAAACTCAGAGTCCACGAGAGCGCGGGCACGTTCCATCGTCTCCTGCAGCATCAACGGATGCTTCAGAGAGAACATTAAGTATTCTAAACTCGAATCCAAGTGTTCATCGGGCACAGTAAACGAGAAAAGCGTGTCCTCGCTGAAGATTGATGAGGAGCATTCGCCGCCGTTTTTTTCCACATGCGCAAAGAAGACATTCTCCGCCGAATCTGGCGTGCTGCCCATGAATACCATATGTTGCAGAAGGTGGGCCAGGCCCTGATAGTTGCACGGATCGGCGAATGAACCGTGGTCGATCATCAAGGCACAGGAGGAGTTATTGGGAAATCCAATGCCAACCGATGGTGCCGAAACGATCGAAACTTGTAACCCATTACCCAGCACAAGAGATCTAAAAGGCAATTGAGTATCGTTTCGATGGCGTGTCTCACCAATTCACTTACTTGTACATTTTCCTGTCGTTCTCCGATTTGTGGGGATCCTCCAGATGCTTTACTTCCGCCATTATAATGTGTCGTCTAATGACACAGTGCTTAACTATACGTTGGACCTAAATGCGAGTTTTATTTTAATTAGTTTCGATTAGTTAATTGGGTTCGATATTATAAAATCCGCCAACGCCATCTTCACACAAAAACCAATATGGAGGAAAATGCGGGAGACAACTTTCAGTGGTGGCCTTCCGTTCTTGCGATAGTATTGATCGCTCAGAACCATCGATTGACTTAAAGTCGTATCACTAACCATACAGTATACAGTATATATACTGTATGGTTAGTGGTCGTATCGTATTTCAGTATCACACTAGAAAAGGCACCGAGACCAGATGTAAAATGTAGATGTAGTCTTTGTTGTCATAGGTAACAACGATGATTTACTATAACTCTGAAATAATATTGGCTGCTCTGAAAAGGCTGTGCTTGTTGAATAACATCGTTTTGGTACAAATATAAAGATAAGATAATAAACTATGGTTCCATGCGAGCTCGTAGTTCTACGATATGCAAAGACGGTCGTGTGAACCTTGAAATTTACCGTTCAGTTGAAATGAAAGAATTGTCTTGCTTCCTTAGATTCACTAGGAATAGTTTTCCATCAACTCGTTTTTCCTCCGAATAATACTAAGAACTGGTCGACTATTAATACAAATAGGAAACAATCCGCGCAATTTAAAGTTGAGTTCTGCCATATTAGGATATTTCAGGTTAGGTCTAGTACTTCTATACCCTATACTTAAAATGAGTAAAGGGGTATATTGGATTTAGATTTTGTATCTAGTCTTCAGGGATATGACACTGTTACAAGTGTATTTCAAACATACGCCTCCTTCCACCCCCACAAAGAACCTTTGCCCATCGCTAAAAATAGGCGCCCAGATCCCAGAGACTACCCCCAATCATAGAGAATGATTATATCTACCAGATACGAATTGTGAATTTGAATAACATCGCATCATTTTTATAGCCCAAAGAAACAAATCAATTTTCAGTGGCTACGCAGCGCTCGACGACACGCGCAGACTGATTTTCTGTCTCTCTTTAATATTAACGGCGTCTGCCGGAGGAGAGCCATACTGAATAATTATCGGGTATACATATATGTAAAGTCACGGTCGCAGCAGCAACTTACAACGTTCCCCCCGTTTTTGTTTGGTTTCTAACTGTTTATGTTTTTATCTATTTGTGTTGTGTTATTTTGAACCGTGCTAAATAGAATAAAACAGTTTTAAAAAAATTGTTGATTTTCAAACACGGTTTTTGCCAAACCGTGTAAGAAAAGACCGTGAAAAATAGAATGAGGTGTAATTTATATTTACATTTATAACATAATACAACAACACTCTTACTCTACGAACCAAACCGACTTTTTCTGATATATTTGGCACTTTACAAATTTTAAATGAATTCTTTTACTGAGCAGGAATATTTTTGATATATATATATTTAAATATTTATTTTTATTTATTTAATATATTCAAAAACAAGGTTTTTAGACGTAGTGCCTTTTTTCAATAACTAAATGTGTATTACATTTCGTTGTAATGAACTTTGCAGTTCTGATATGCTGACCTAGGCAGTAGCAGCTAAACGATTTTCGAAAGAGATAAAATACATATATGTATATACGCTAAATTAATGTTGGTACTCACCTCCAATGTTTCAGTTGACTTAGTGTAATGTCATGCGACCATTAGTTAGTTAGCAAAGCCTAATGTCATAAGCTCATAACTCTTAATGGGAACGCAAAATTGAGCACAACCTTCCTATAGCTAAGACCGATTTCGGTATATCAAGGCTTTGCCAATCGAACTTTATCTGTCAAACAGCCTGCCCGGCCCTTTTATCCCGTAGTCCTATTAAATATATTTTGACATCGAAATATAATTCTATATGTAATCAATTTAAACAATTACTTAAACTTCATTTCTGCATACTTATATATCTCACTCATTCACTTTTAAACAACTTCTCTTTGGCGCGCACTGATCGTATCCAGTCGATAGTATCGGTAGCCGTTTGGCGAGATTGTTTGTCGCTTTCGTGTTGTGTTTTTTCATCACAAAAATTTCCTGTAACAAAGAGGCTCATTCTATTTAATGATATTTATTTATTTGAGGGAGCAGCACTTGTATTAAAACCTACTTTTATTATGTCTTTGATATACATCTCCCATATATCGATATGTGCATATTTTTTTCTTGTTTTGATACCTTTTCCAAAGCTTGAAATATATCGTACCTTAACGGAAACGGTTTTCGTAACGGAAATGGTATCTTATTTTAGTATTTACCAATGAAAATCGTCAAAAATGTTCGTCAACCAATATCTTTATACAACTAATTATGTTACGTTAAAGCTAACCACTTACGGTTTACCGTTGGCAACATCCAATTTGTATGGTCGATAAAGATGCCGACAGAATATTAAACGAGCAGCACCCTTCCCGCAACATGAGCAATGAGCACACTCAACATACCCTGGGGAAAAATTATGCAATTGACGAAACGTTTGTTATCCAGGCTCAAATAAATGCAGAAACTATTTCAGTTTCTGTTTAACAGCTGTGTGAACAAATTTTTGCAGATTATGGTCTTATCACAGAGCCCAAGAATAGGTATCGAGATATACATATATACAGAACTAATTGTAGGCATGTATTGGTCTAACACATGTCAATCTGAGAAAAAGTCATTATGTTTTAAATCAGCTTGGAAAACATAATTTTAATATTAATTAAATGAAATAGGCTATAAATATGTCCATACCATAGCGGATACCTGTTGACCAGCAACAATGACGTAACATTCCATAGACACTTACGTTTCATTCCGTTCACACTTATGTTTTATGCTTTGACCTTTTTTGCTTAAATCTCATTTAAGACACAATCAAATAAAAAAGAGTATTTAAAATTAACCGATATTGTAGAAAATTTATGCATTTATCTGATAAAATTACTTGTTCAGATCTGAAGGTCTCAGCTAGCTTGTAATCGTAACCCGAAAATCCGAATCGAGGAATATGATTTCTAATCATGACGGGAACGATTAACCCATTGTCGACCAGTGGGTATTAAAATACTCTCCACAAATATTATAAATCTTGAAGAATGTTAGCGCAGCTTAGGTGGAACACATTGGGGTCCTTTTTTAAGCAAAGATAAGGGATAGGATGCACCTAGAAGAGTAATTACAATTATTATAATTAATAGTATGATTTTCTGCGGTTTAGCCCAAGTTGTTATCTTGTTTAAATAAAGGGGGTTTGCGTGGGCTAAGTTCGTTTTTTCATCGGTATTCACTTTATTCCGCCGCCAGAACTAATTTTAATCGCGTCCAATAACTAACTAGAACGGCACCGGGTTGAGAGCGAAGCACACGCGTCCAATTTCGTTGTGTTTTTGTAAATAAACAAAGTTAAAAAATACGAAAGCGCAACGAACGGGGAAGGCGAGACAAAATAAATAAAACAGAATCTTCTCGCTGTCCAGCCGAGTGTTTTTGTTGCACTAGTGCTCTCAAACTAATTCCATTGAGGCATAATATGCCGTGCATGGTACTTAATTAAAGCTATTAAAAAACTAACCTGTCGCAGGCGCATTAATCGAGTCACAAGCAATGGCAGCAACCGGCAAAACAGCAGAAGCAGCGCCAACAATGCTGGGCAATGGGAATGCCGTTTTCGACGAAAAGCTTAAGCGGGCGGAGGAAGAGAAGGAGGAGGCGCGTGCCGACGAGCCCAACGAGATCACGGACGTGCCGCGCTACGGCCTCAAGCTGAAGTTCGGTCATGCGTGGCCTGAGCGGAGGATCCAAAATGTCCGGGCATCCATCCGGCAAACGCTGCCCTTGGTTCCCCTTGTCTGCAGGTGCGATATATGTGTACACTGTTTTCTGATACTGATAGTGATGCTGATGCTGTTGGGGGGTGGAGCAGGGGCGGACAGATACGTTCATACATAATTAATCGAGGCACAATAATGCGAAATCAATAACCGGTCCCAAGAATACCCCAACAGGAGCTACACCGAGCGGGGCAGGACCCTCTCCCGCGGGCCTTTGCGTGCCAAATATAGCGCCAGGACCTGGCCAACACACAGATACACAGTAGGCTCGACTCGTAAATTGGATTCCATTGTGGTATCGTTGCCAGCTTAATGACATTAAAAACGGCAGCGGGACAGGCTAAGAGGACACCAACACGCGAGGGACTGAAGTGGAGCGTGTGGGGATAGATGGAGCTTATGCTTCTATAGATAACGTAAGGGGCAATCTACATTTGCGTCCAGGGCGATGTTCATTGAAAGTTTATGATTAAAAACATCCTAGAAAAAGCCACAAAGTGGAGTATCTTTTTGCCCCAATGGAACCATCTTGTTCTTTTGAGTTCTCTTATTAATGTATCCTAATAGATATATTTCATCATTGAATATAAAATAATTATGGTATGAATAGCTAAACTTGTACCAATGTTGGCGTTAGCCGCAAGACCTCCCCACCTCACCTTCTGTCTGCCCGCATTGGCGCCAAGTTGGGCGTCCTGTTTGCGTGTCCCGGCCACATTTTCGGAGCTACGAACAAACAAAAAGAGCCCACACACCCATAAGAGCTAACTTTTTGAGCTGCCTTTTCCCAGAGAGCGTGAGAGGGTTGACAGAAGTTTCTTCAGCATAGCACATACTCGTATTTTTCTTGCCGGGAATCACAGCATTAACTGACCTAACAAACTATTCCATACAGAACAGAGTGCCCTGAACTCTTCTGTGCCAAATATGGGTCGTCGTTCAGCTGAGTATATGAATCAGGGAACTTGAAATGTTATTGAAGTTTTCAAAAGTACACAGCTGATTTGTTTGGTAGGGTGTGACTAAGCATTGAATTCATTTGTTTGACGTGTGTTTGGGGAACTCGAATTGATTGTGCCCCTGCCTGCCTGTGCTCAAAGGTATTTTATAATCTCCAAATATGGCAGCAGCTTGCTTATCAGTTACTATTGATAGGTGCCTGCGGTGGGTTGTGATTGATAGCCTTAATAATCCGCTTACAACAAAAGTGCACCGTCTATTTATAGTTTGAACAATACTCATCCATGCACACAGAAGTCATTTGATATATCGGCACCACTTCATACCCAACTCTTGTTAAATAAACGTTTCCCCTCTTGAAGTTCCGCAGAAATGCGCTTGCTCGCATCTAATTTCTTGGCCAAACAGTTCCCATCGCCACTCTCCGACTGCAATATATCCGATATCGTTGCGTACTTCTAAAAATCATTATTCACCAACGAAAGTCTCTGTTCTTGTGGGAATTCCACGAACCTTTCTCTTATCTAAAGGCATTTTTGAAAGCTCACTTTTGATTTCCATGACGTTGCACAATGGTTTACCCTCGCAGAGAGATACGAGTAGCATAACACGCTCGTTCCCCACTGTAGGGAGGGAGTCGTAAAACTGTTGGCTACTACGAGCCTCATGCCGGCTGCTATCAGGCCAGGTCTGATGTTATAGCATTATCAAGAGGTGTGGAAAGTAATCTGGGTTGATAGCTCTTCTATTTTAATAAGTGAATACCTTTTAGGCAACATTTATTAGGCTGTAAACCTATGACTGCATCAATGAGATCACCATAAAAGTCGTAAAATAGGGCCTACGATTAAATGCAAAACTCCAGCACTGACCTGGCTAATAATTATTACAAATCCAGAGAACTACTTGCACATTTCCTGTGGACCATTATCTATTACTCCCTCTTTTTTCCGATTAAATATTTATACTCGACCACACATATAAGTCAAGGAGCGATTAGAGAAGTCCCATGAAGGTTGACTAGCCTGAGTGAATTCTCGTATTCGATTGATAAGGCTATATTGTGTGTACTACAATCCGATCCATTGAGAGTAATATTTGTGAACTTTCTTGTGGCCGTTCCGTTTTTGTTTTTCTGCAGATATAACCATATTAATCTCTGAATCTTCAATTATAAATTCTGCCTAGTTTTGGAAACTGTCATCATATTGCTTTTAGAAAGGAGACTGTTGAGCTACTGGGCTTCTTCAGAAGCGTAACTCGATTGATTTGATTAATCACAACAACAAGAAGCTTTCGATTAAGTAATTTGTTTTATTTCGATTTGCAATGCCATGGGCAACGGTGCCAGACTACGGAGTGACTATCGGTGCCTCCCTCAGAGCTCTCGCCAGTGACGAACGATGGGAAAAGAGGGATACAGCGATTAAGGGGAGGGACAACAATAGCAACCAGCTGCGATAGGTTCAGAGATCTGATCTCCGTAATGCTTTTTGTGCTGCAATGGGCAGGCGCTTAGTCGAAAAGAAACTAAAACAAAGTCTCCTGTATTAACCAGCAAATGCCCTTTATTTCACATGAGTCGTATTGAAGGCGATACGGGGGCTGTCCTCCTTTCAGGCTTTCAATTTGAATGCCCCGAGCTCTTGCTCGAGTTCAACGTAACTTTGATGACACAGTTCCCGCAATTTTCGTTTCCTGATTGCCAACTACTTTTCACCCAATTCCTGTCGGATTCAGCAGCAGCGTCTTTGCCCCAAAACAAATTATGTGAAAGCAGAGCAGAGTGCCTGGCGCCAGCCGGGAAAAGCATAAACCCAACCCACCACCAACCCACTCCTGCCTCTGCCCCTGCTATTCAGACCCCATCCAGCATGTCTGTCACACATCAAACGCTTTTGGCACAGCTCCCAACGAGATGTGTGCATATGCCCTGCTTGAGCTCCTCCTTGAGCCAACCGATAAGCAAGGAGCGTCTTCAGTGTCTGTGGAAAGAAATCTGCGAGTGGGAATGGAAACAGAAAGCTCATAGCCCCCTGGCATGTGCATTTACAAATGGAAAATGGAAACTGGAAAAAATAAAAATTTCATTTTCCTTTACGTATTTTCCCTCTCCATGCATTCAAGTTGTACGCCTATGCAGACGGAGCACTTTCCTCATTGTTTTTCCATGTTAAGGCATTTTCCCCCGTCACCACTGACTGAGCATTTCTGTGACGAGAGAGGAGAATCTTCTGCATGTTAGGACACAAGCGAGCTCCCTAGGGGAAAACATTGTAGTTTGAGGAGGTTGAAGCCTCTTCAAGACGGAGTCCGAGTCGGAGTCCCTCCTGGCTTTTGCTCTCAACTTGTCGCATTTTGTTTATTTTTGATTTGCTCCCAGAACAGTGTTATTTTTCGGTTGGTTGAATGGCAGTCTGAGACTTTAGATTGGAGATTTGATATTTATAGACTTTTCCAGTGTGGGTCCAGCACTGATTGGGGGGGGTGGAATGGAAATACATTTACTGTGACTAAAGTTGATGGGCTCTGTGTCGAGAGGGCATGAGGATAAAATGTGCAATGACCTCACTCGGAATTAGTTAGTTTAAAAGACACGAACACTTCATGGAACAAACTTCTGCAATCTTCTGCTTCAGCTGTAGACGGACTTCATCTTATTTACCACCTTTGCTTCTTGACAATCCCCGTCCACGTTCCTTCAACAAATTAGACCCCAACCCGCAAGAACTTATCCGATTTCCCAGACGACAACAAAGTTGTGCATTCATTTGAGACGGCAATCCATCCGTGTACATAGTACCCCAACCCCCAATGCTGGTCCGACCAACTTCATTTGTTACTTGCCACAAGCAATTTGTGTCCCTCTCCCTGTCGCCGCCCCATCCTGCCCCATTTGCACCTTGACGTCACTTGACCCACGCTGACCCCAGCACCAACTCCTCGCCTGCAATTTCACAAATTGGGTGGAACAGAAAAACTTCTGCCAACACTACCCCCCCCCCCCCCCCCCCCCCCCCCCCCCCCACCCAAAAAAAAATGTAAATGGCAGCGAAATGTGGCTAGATTCGGGACAGGCTGGGCCTTTCGGCGGGGTTCTGTAATAAGGAGAATTCGTTCGTTTTTCGTTTTTTATATAGGTACATGGATGGACAGTTTATTTTGGTTTATTGACAACGAAGAGTCAGTTCTTTCAGGCTTTGAGAGTGAGTTTATTAATTAATTAATTGCATGAGCCGACGTGCCGAAAAATGCTCGGTTTCTATGCTAATATTGGGCTGCATGACCGACAAACGATCGTATTGGGAATGCCAAACTCACCCCAAATATATGTAGAAATTAGTAATTATTAAAATTTAGAACTCCCCTATAAACAGAATCGAAAGCGCCTGCGAAGGGATTGTCATACGATCTTTTTGACTAGATTTTCGGGTAGAATAAGGCAGTTTCTGGACAACAAGTAATCGAAACATATGCTTCAAATTCAGCCATAAAGTCAGATCTTAAATATATATTTATATATCAGTCGAGAGTCACATGCTCTGGTGAGCCCTCCTGAAATCAGCCAGTCTCAGTAATTCTCAGTTCGAATCTGAAGCATTCGAAGGCGAGCGAACGTTTTGCATTGTTGATAAAGAGGGAACCCCCGAAAGGTAAGTTCTGGTGTCCTATAGCCAGCACTGATCTTCAGGCCCACCGCTTAGGAAGATGAGTCGCCACGAGAATGTCGTATGCAGGGGATGCAGCAAGATGGGGTTCACAGGACGCTGCTACCGCTGCCTGAGCTGCCCGAACTTCGACATCTGTGCGGACTGCTATGACCTGGACTTCACCACAGAGAGCCATCTGTTCGACCATCCGGTGAAGTGTGTGTACACCCCGGCCGATGTGGAGCTCTACTTCGAGGGGGAGTACATCAGCAGCGACCCCCCGCAGAGCTACAGGTGCCCCTACTGCAAGCAGTGGGGCTTCAACGAGGCCACGTTCCTGGAGCACATCTCGGGAATGCACCCCAACGCCAGCCCACTGCTGGTCTCCACCATGATCACCTTGTTCGAGCAGCAACAGGCCTCCCGCATGTTTCTCGAGAACGAGCAGCTGGCCGCCATGACGGCAGCGGCGAACTCGCGCAACGAGCAGATGAACCACACTGAGGGCACCCTGGTCCTCCGACTGGAGCCACTCAATCCCGACGGCAGCTACCGGAGGGAGTCATCAAAAACACAGACGGTGTTTGGCGATGCGGCCGTGGATCGACGGGTCGTGCTACGTCGGCCCGCATCAGGCCCGTCGGAGGAAGTCCCTGATGTGACCACTCATGGAGGGGTATCTGGCAGACGACGAAGTGTCCTCAGAGCTCCAGGGGGGTTTTACTTCAATTTGCGCACAGTCGAAGGGGAAAATTTTGGAAACTCGACCTCCCCAGGCCCGTCAAATGAATCCCAACAGGCACCGCCCGTCCCGTCGCCCTCGGGCCACCAAATGATGAACGACATGATGCGCTACTATGGGACCACCCCGCTCCCGACCAGCCGAGCCAGTCGGCCCAGGACTCCAGTGTTTAGCCAGAGCCCTCTGTTCCACAACGGCCTGGCACCAGGCAGGCGATACTTTTCCCACGAAACAGGTCGAAGCTTCTTCGTTGCGGATGCGTTTCCTGAGTCTGGGCTCGGTCTGCCCCACCAGATGACTGATCTGCCAGCTTTCAGCGCGGCACCACCGATGACCGCCACGCACGATCTACATGTTCCGACGCCACTTGACTTGGGTGCCACACTGCCCCTCGAAGACCATGACGCCTTCACCCAGAGCTTGACAGAAGCTATGATCAAGAGCCTGATGGCCTCCATGGAGAAGCCGCCCCCACAGGAGAAGCGGGACACCCGTTACCTCTGCAGTCCCTTTCTTTCCCACGCAACGCGGGAGTCCCCGGAGCAGAACGCGTTCCTAGCCCACCGGGCCGAGTTTGTGTCCCAGCTCCTGGCCTCGACACTGCACGAGGAGGAGCCGGCTGAGGGTCTTGGAATCTTCGAAGTCGACGGGCAGAATCGTCCCACTCAAGCACCACAGATGAAATCTTTCCCGAGTTGCGATCTCGCCGGGGCTGGCGATGCGGATATTTCTCCGCGCTAAGCGATCGCAGCTCCAATCTCTCTCATACGACATGCGTATGAGAGGCTGTCCAAACCAGCAATGTTTTATATTTTAAAGATTGTGAAATTTCCAGTTTTGTTTTCGGATGACTTTGAAACTCTTGCTTCGAGAGAGGCCATTAAATTTGTAGCGCTATACAGTGTTTTAGGCTTAAAAAAAATGTGTACTTAGAAAGTTCTACACTTTCCCTGCAGTTTGAATGGCCGTCAGGAGACTATTCCATAGAGCCCAGACGGACCAGTGCACGCTCCAAAACGAGGACACTCCGACAGTGTGAACAATCTCGGGGGGGGGGATAGAAAAGTGTACTACAAAACTACTCCGCCGGCTCTACAAATATTAGTTATTTATCCTACGTTATCGAATTTACTGGGTAACAGCGCGGCATCGCTGATTTGTACCAAGTACTTGTAAATATTTAAACATTTGAGATACGATTTGTGGGACCGCTGTAATAATTTATCATTCAAATTGTAAGATACGTATGTGAGCATCTCTAAAGATGGAATTGGATGGATGGAACTCCTTCGATGAGTAACAAATCCTGATTATGTTGGTCTGTCATAACGATGTTCCATTCACATTTATTCATAATCTTATCATAGCACGAAGGCTCTTAGTTCTCTTTATCGAGTTTGCACTATGTATTTGGGGTAATTAAAGAGTCACGGGCTCCCACCCAATTGGCTTGAAACCACTGCCATCTTCATACATTTCCTCGTTCAGCAATTTTCCCATTTCCTTAATTATTTTAAATGGGAAAATATGCAACGTTCTGAAACTGTCTGTGGGATGTGAATGCAGAATATCTCATTAATTGAATACTCGGAAAATTGGATAATTGGATAAAAGACATTAAAGTGCACCTTTCCGTCGCTTATCCTGTTGAGCTCTTGCTGCGTTTGTGAAGGCCGAGCATGAATTAAAAGGGACTGCACAGTAGTGAATATCCGTTTTTTATTGTGATAGCCATTTGAACACCCAATAAAAATTAAATGTACCTGTACACCGGAGTATTCGGTTGCCCGTCCCATTAACATTCTAAACGGTTGACGCAAAAGGTGTGTCTGGGTGCTTGCGCCGTTTAAAGCGTCTGCCAGAGGTGCGTTTCGAATGGCAAACAGAACCCTCAATGAACCACGAAAAACAATTTAGACTGTGTACAAAGATCGGGTTGAGTTATACCATACTCCATGATACTCGTAGTTGTTTAAAGTTTAAAAATATATAGAAATACCCGGAGAATGCTTGAGAAGTCCTTTACAAATCTCTTGGGGCTCAGCTGTAATAGGCTCTACTAGACATCTGCGTGGCCTCACTCACTCTCAGCCCCACTAATCCATTCGTGCCTCTTCGCTTAAACGTTGTGCGAACGAGTCTTAAGTCTTACTCAAATCATTTTGAGTTTATATTATTGTTGTTGATACTAGTACTCGTGACTCCTTAAGTGTGCGCATCTTCAGTCCAAAGATTCCCGAATATATTGTAAGGCAATGTATTCAGAAACAATCATGTGACTATGGGGCTTTGGCCCTAATACTCGCCATGGTCACTGGGGCCTTGCACTTGATTTTGTCAACCACTGAGACGTTTGCCGACCTTCACAGAGCCACAGAGCACCCGGCGCCCCATGAAAGGGAGGAAGAATCGCTAAGCTGTGACAGCCGTTACATCCGCTGTGCGTGTGTAGGTCGACTCCCCAAACGGAAAGCTCACACAATTATGACATCATCGGGGTCAGGGGCAGGCAATTGGATTGGGATGGCGCTGGGACGGTAGGGCGATATGGCGATTGTGCACGGGAAATGGAAATGTAATGGAAAATGGGGAAAGTTGAGCAGCTGAAATCTGATTTTTCACTCTGTCTCCTGCTCTCGTCCCAATAGATATGCGGCCTACTACTGGAAAGTGTCGCGTGAAGGTCGTCGAGTGTACATGGACTACTACTACATGGAGAACGGAAAGCAGATTTATGGCGTGCCCATCGGCGGGATAGGCGGAGGCACCATTGGACGGGGCTTTGCGGGCGAGTTTTGTCGCTTCCAGATGCGTCCCGGCATCTATGAGTACAATGTGGTGCAGGCCAACCAGTTTATAGTGACCATCAAAGATCAGAAGGGCTGCACCATCTTTCAAAGTCTACTCTCCAAGTGCAGGTAAGAATAACCTTTACATTTTTCTGTATTCCTCTGCCGCGCCCTCTGTACTACATGACTTTTGCAACCAGCCAAACCCTTCAAAGTGTAGATACTTTTCACGTTACGTAGCTATGTACATCTTTATTGTCATTTTCTGAACATTTCTTTGCCTGGAATTTGTGTTTTGTTATGCCTGATTCGCCTTGCTTGCATGCTTTCAATGTCCTATTCTTTCGCTTTCTTTGATTCTTAATTTCGTATTCTTAAGAATACAGGCCTTTATTGTTATTTTTTTCATATCTTGATGTTGCGAGTACTTGTACATGATGTAGCGTGCCTGAATTATTCGTGTCCAATTTGATGGGCACGACAGGTAGTGCAAGTGGATTTTTTGGGCAGTTGGGCTTCTTAATAATTGACAGCAATTTCATAAATATAAAAACTCTAATCTGATACATTTAAATGAGCATTGAACTGAAACTGTCGGCATTTATCATAGAAATCCGTTATTACAGGTATTTAAACGCGTGAATCAAATAGACATTTAAATAGTGACCATTTATTATATAATTCTATGGCTAATTTTCCTTATTTGGGTGAAAATACGATCTTTACGATCCTATTGCCGGCTTACACTAAGCAAATCGATCAAATCATTTTCGGTATCTGCAAATTACATACAGCATTCCTGTACCCAACCAAAAATACGAATAACCCGTTCTCTATGTACATAAACACATTACAACAATGGATTTCATTACGATTAGTTCTCATTGAAACGCTGTTTGGTCTTTCCTGTACTGCTTTATGTATTTCACCTCTAAAAACAAGAGTTTCCTCCCTCAAAATCCATATGGAAGTGTGGGCTAATCACCTACTCTGTAGAGCACTGTAACATTTCAAACACTAACCCTAGCTAATCCTCCCAGGCGGCGATGGTTCTGCTGTACGAAAATTTGAAGCGAACTGACACAATAATTTCGAAATAATATTTTTCTCTCATTCTGGATGCACACCACATAAATACGAACTATTAAACACGCAACCTATCGACAACACCTACAACAACATCATCACTGGGATATACTTTGTATGGTGCGGATATACACATATCCAAATCCGATGTGGGGTATCTGGGTTATCTACTGATACGACGAATGTCGTACTCGTAATGGGGGCTTTTTGGCTTTGTTGCGCTTTGAACTTTGGTTACGATATGGTTTTGCTTATGCTTTGCCACATGCGACATGCACCACATATAGCACCATGTCGAGGGGCAACAACGGCAGCGATCCGGATGCCGATGGGGAGAAAACTAAATGTCAACTGCCCAATTGCAGCAGCCGCCCCAAGCAGCCGCTGAGTGCCTGGCACTCCAACATCGAAGACGCACGGTGCAGCTACACGGGCCTGTACCCCCGCTCCTGGACCGAGTACGATCTCTCCCACTATGGGGTTCGACTGGTGTGTCGCCAGGTCTCGCCCGTCATCCCGCACGAGTACCGGGACTCCAGCCTGCCGTGTGCTGTCTTTGTGTGGAGTGTGGAGAACGTATGCGATCAGGAGCGCATAGTCTCCATCACGTTCTCCTTCAAGAACGGCACGGGCAACAAGAAGCAGGACGCCGAGGGTGGGGCCGAGTCGCAGCTGATCAGCGCAGGCAATGCAAAGGGCGTCGCCATTCGCCAGAAGATCGCCGACATGCCGTGCAGCTACAACCTGGCCTGTCGCGTCCTGCCAGAGATCAGCATCACGCGCTGTCCCCAGTTCGACCCGGCTGGCAGCGGAGAGCAGCTGTGGGCTCAGCTGAAGGAGCACGGCCAGCTCAGTGAGCAGCCTACCGGGGAAACCCTAAAAAGTGAGTGACAGAAACCATTGACAGCAAACCATTGAACCCCCTTTCTTAATCTGTGTCTCTCTCTCTCCTAGCCAAAGACATAGGCGTCGCTGTCTGCGCCCAACTAGCCCTCAAGCCCCAGGCCTCGCACGATCTGGAGTTTGTCCTGGCGTGGGACATGCCCAGGATTCAGTTCCCCAGGAAGATGCAGACGCACATGCGCTACTACACCAAATACTTTGACGACAGCGGCGAATCGGGACCAAAGATATGCGAGTATGCTCTGAAGCAGTACCCCAGCTGGGAGCGACTAATTGATGCCTGGCAGCGGCCCATACTCAGCGATGAGTACGTCCTATTTAAGTCCCATCAGAGACTATTTTAACAAGCAACTCTTTCCTCCTAGTACTCTACCCGACTGGTACAAGTGCGCCATATTCAATCAGCTCTACTTTATCTCAGACGGGGGAACCATCTGGCTGAAGTGCGACTCATCGCTGGGCAAGGAGCTGGCCTACGACGATCCGCGGCTGGCCTATGGGCGTTTCGGCTACTTGGAGGGGCACGAGTATCGGATGTACAACACCTACGATGTTCACTTCTATGCCTCTCCGGCACTGGCCCATCTCTGGCCAAACCTGCAGGTGAGCCTGCAGTACGACTTCAAGGATGCCATTGCAGCCGAGCTGAGCGACACCCGAAAGATGCTGTACGACGGCAAAGTGATGCCGCGCAAGGTCAAGAACTGTGTGCCCCATGATCTGGGCGATCCCGATGAAGGCAGGTCCCAGACACTGAAACATTTAAAAAGAAGGAATTAATGCGTCACTTCATTTTGTTGCAGAACCCTTTACCCTGATCAATTGCTATAACATTCACGATGTAAACGATTGGAAGGATCTCAATACCAAGTTTGTGCTGCAGGTCTACAGGGACTACTATGTCCTGAATGAACTGGCCCAGTCACAAGCGGACAATGCTAGCAAGTTTAGCTCCATTGAGTTCATCGACAAGGAAAGCCTGTACGAAATGTACACGCAGGACAACAAGCGCAAGAACTCGTCGGACGAGAAGCAGCGTAAGTCCCTCGGCCACGGAAATACTTAATGGACTGACTGACTTTATCGACTGAATTTTTTTCCTGCAGAGAATCGCAAGTCAGCCTCCATGTATATCAACGAAACCAATGGCAAAGTGTACCTCATGGATGCGATTGGCTATCTGAAGGCAATGTACGGGGCCTGTAAGGCCATCATGGAGCGAACCATTGAGTATGACAAGGACAACGATGGTCTTATCGAGAACACCAAAATGCCGGATCAGACCTACGACTCTTGGGTGATGGACGGACCCAGTGCGTACTGCTCAGGCCTGTGGCTGGCCGCTCTGCAGGCAATGTCGGCCATGGCCACCATTCTGGACCAGCCGAACGATTGCCTTCGCTTTCAGGACATCCTGGAGAAGGGCAAGCGATCTCTGGAGGAGAAGCTTTGGAACGGCAGCTACTATCGCTTCGATCTCTCGCCCAGCCATCGGGACTCGATTATGGCGGATCAGCTGTGCGGCCATTGGTATTTAAAATCGTGTGGCTTTGATTACGAAATCTATCCCAAGGAGAATGTGCGCACAGCTCTCAAGACGATCTACGACAACAACGTGATGGGCTTCCACGAGGGCAACATTGGGGCGGCCAACGGCTTCATAGCCAATGCGGCAGACCCCTCCAAGCCTGGCCATGTGGACAATAGCAATATCCAAGCAGAGGAGGTGTGGCCCGGAGTGGTCTATGCCCTTGCAGCCACCATGATACAGGAGGGCATGTTCGAGGAAGCCTTCCAGACGGCCGGCGGAATGTACAAGACCCTCTCGGAGCGAATCGGCATGAACTTCGAGACGCCCGAGGCCCTGTACGGTGAGAAGCGCTATCGCTCCATTGGCTACATGCGGCCATTGAGCATCTGGTCGATGCAGGTGGCATTGGAGCGGCGCAGAGCGCTGCGAGACTAAGTCGAGAGTAAAATCGAACCCCCAGTCTATTTACGTGCTACACAACCAAAGATATTTCTAAGCGAGCACAAAGAGGTTCTTAGCTTGTAATTTAATCTTTTTTCGAAGTGGGAAACGTAACGAGCTTAGTGGCAGGCTGTCGGCGGGAGTGGAATGGCAATGATGGTATTCCAGTTCATAAACAATAGCTTTACATATATGTATTTTCAAGCTGCGATCCGTTGGCTGCTTACTCCACGTCTTCTTTAACTATAAATCCACACACAATTCAATCTGCTACCCTCTGTTGAAGTACAACTACGAAATGGTATTCAAATGGAGCACAAAACGTATTTAAATTTAAATGTTAGCTAAGCAAAATATTTAAATCAATTATATGTCTGTTTCAATTAATTATATATGTCCTAAGCCAGTATTTCAATGTTTTAACTCGTTGCTGTCTTGAGTAAATGTGAACAAAGATGCAGAATTCAACAAGCATCTTTCGCAGTGTTCAATGTATCACGGCATTATTTATTACTGATCGAAACGTATTTGCAACTTAAAGAACCAACTTATTGAAACAATACTCTCCCTGCTCATGGGTCAGCAGGTGTTTGCTGAGATCTCACTTGGCTCTTCCAATGCTCTAGGAACTTCTCATACTCCCTCCTGCTGCGACAAAGGATAACCAGGGAGGAGGGGCGACACCCGTGGCTCTTGAGCTCCTCCACACGGGCCTGGGTAGTCTTCAGGCTGTGGCACAGAATACGTGGAACTTGGGCTATCTCAAATCGTGAGAATTTCGCCTCATCCAGCAAGTAGTCCAGCACCTCTTTTATCTGCAAAATAAGTAGCCAACATGTTGCGTTATCTGTGTTTCGCAAATTTGAAAGCGCTGCTTACCTTTGTAACCCGCACAGTATGCACCTGCGGGTGTCTGTCCATGATCACTTTGGTTTCACTCACGCTAAACCCCAAGCGATGGCCTAAGTACTCCACCACGGAGGAGTGCTTTCCAAGCACTTGGAGCTCATCCAGCGACAGCTTGAGGGAGCGTTGTAGTATGAGCTCGGGGCAACGAACCATCCACGGCATGATCTTGTCCTTCTTTGCCCGCTTCGCCCTCTCCAAGCGCAACTGCACAGACCGCGGGGTGTACCGAAAGGCCCACAGATCCTTCAGTATATTGATGGGCGACACATTGTAGTCGATCATATGCTGTAGGTTCTTCTCGAACATTTCGTAGGGCATCTCCAGTATGAAGAGCCGCTTGGACAGGTACTTGGTCACTATCTCCGGGCTCACATGCAGACTCTCGCTGATGTAGTAGACGCGATTCTGCTGCGGTATCGTCTTCATTTCTGCATTGAGGGCGGATACAAGCTTGCGGAGGCGTGGAACAGTCAGACGCAGGAAGGGAACAAAGTGATTCAAGTCCCGAATGTTCATCGACTTTATTAGCTCCAGTTTCAGCTGCAGGCGCTCTGTGGGAACATACCTGTAGACATAAGAAAGACGCTCAGCAGAAGAAGATGTACTCACTGTTGTCCAGCGAAAGAAGCCAGGGATACTCTACAAAGCTGCGTTTGCTAACGCCCTCCAGTTCCAGCAGGTCCAGCGTCATCGTCAGAGAGCGACTGCGGTAGCTGCGGTGCACCGAATCGTCGCCCATAATCCGCTGGAGCTCGGCATCGGTGAGACGGAAGCGTTCCCTCAGTGTGTCAATGAGCACGCTGGCTCTTGTGCCCGTTTCCTGCTCCAGGCGATAAGGCACGTACTCATTGTCCGCCTCGTGGCCGGTGCTCGCTGTGGTGGCCGCTGACGCCGTCAGCAGGGACTTCCTTGGCCTTGCTTGGCTTTCATACTCGTACTGCGTGAAGAACGTGCGTCTCGAGCAGCCAACTGTAGCTGCTCTAGCCAGAACTGGAGCTATTGCCGTGGTTGTGTGAAGCCTGAGCGCAAGCTCAAAACTTCGCAGCAAATTTCGCAACATTCCAAACAGATGGACTAGAAAAAATCCAGTAAAACGGTTTAATCTTAAAAATTACAAAACAATTTCTTCAGACCGGCGCAACACTGTTGTCATTTTAGCTTATTTTAAGCTAGATTTTCCTTATTTTACAATCAAATAGCTTGAAAAATAATTGACATGCTTATAGCTTGAAATCTAGCTTATATCGAATATAAATTTGCTTATTTTGGCCTAAAGAAAACATTTTTTCTTTTTTGATTGTATTGTAATATTTGGTAATTTTTATCAAGAAAAAAAGTCAACAATTGGTGCCAATTTGTGCGAATTACGGCAGCATGCTTTCGCTAAAAAACATATTGTGTCCAATACAAGCACGACACAAACTAACAAAATAAATTGTGTTGGAAAGTCCTCACTGTACATTGTGCAGTATATTGTACGGACATAGCACCTATCGACCATGTATCCAAACCAAGAATGAAGTGGATGAAATCAGTTCATTACTTTAATTCAAAATTTAAAAAAGTTTAAATTTTAGCTTATTTTAGCTCACTTTTTCTGTAATCTAGCTTATGGTAACTCTCAAATTATGGCAGCACTGCGCCTCAGGCGTTTTGCCACTAACCATACAGTATATAGATGTGCCAGTTCATACAACGAAAGTGTCACACACCGACTTGCGCTATCCGTACCCCAGAGTGACGTCATCATGAGTGAGAGAGCGCAGAGAGAACATCTTTGCATGTGTTAGTACACACGCAATATGTTTCGACAAAAATATGTGATTGTATGTTTTTTCAGATTTTTTGAACTCTCTCAGGTCTGATCTGTTTTGCCACCAGCATGTTTTAGTGTATGGGTGCACATGCATTCTCACGTACTTTGCGTGTGTGTGTTTACTATTGCTGGCCGCTAGAACTCAAATTTGAGTTTGGTTCTTGTTTCGGGTCTTTTGATGGACTGACCTACCGCCACAAAATAAATGAAGAATGGGCAGGGGGTGGGGGTATGGTACACTAGGGCGCGGGAAACAAAATAAAAGCTTATTTGTTATTTGTTTGATTTATACCACAAAATATAAAATATTACAATAATATAATTACACATTTATTTCCTTATTTTAAACAGGTTGATTAAAAATTATAAAAATTATGCAAACGCCGTCGGTTCTCGACGTTTTTGTTTATTATAACTAAAACAATGATGTATCTAAATATACAATATAAGAAAATATATATATATACTTAAATAAATATGCATAAATATAAATGGAATTGGTTTTACATATATTTCAAATCAATTGTCAATCGCGCGCTTTCCGACGGGAATCTGCAAAGTACAAATTTAGATGCCGGTCGCACCTTGAATACTCTCATGGACAATACCCATAAATTTTCTAATTCAATTATAAAATAGCTTATGTACATACATATGCACATAAATATTAAAGTTTATTACATTCGTATATTGCATGAGGGTTTTCAAAATTACTGCTGCCCGGTCAGCGTCGAGTCGGTGTGTCTCGAGAGAAAGAATACAAAAACAAAATATGAATCGTCTGCGTGCTGAAACCGTAGGGCAGCGTGGTCGCTGATGTCTTTGGCGCGGCACAGTGGGGACTCAGCCGAAATAGTAAAAAAATTGTATGAGTGCTTTAGATAAATTCTGATAGAGAATTTTCCAATCGAATTTTCCCACTGTGCCGCTCCAAAGACATCGGCGATCCGCGACCACCGCTTCGACGGTGCTGAGGCTCGAGAGTCCAGAATTGCCGAACAGACGAAACCGATGGGCAGCGGGGTCGCGGTAGAGACGAAGTACAGGCGAAAAGGGAATTGAAACCCCGCGCGCTCCCTCGTGCCTTTTGGGTTCTAATGTTAGGACCCGCCATAGAACAGCTTTTTGGTCGCTCATGCAACATCTTGGTATTGTATAGTCTTTGGTATTGTATAGTCTTTGATATAAACAAAACGTCGAGAACCGACGGCGTTTCCATAATTTTTATAATTTATAATCAACCTGTTTAAAATAAGGAAATAAATGTGTAATTATATTATTATATATAGTCGAGAACCGACGGCGTTTCCATAATTTGTATAATTTATAATCAACCTGCTTAAGATAAGGAAATAAATGTGCAATTATATTATTATATATAGTCGAGAACCGACGGCGTTTCCATAATTTTTATAATTTATAATCAACCTGTTTAAAATAAGGAAATAAATGTGTAATTATATTATTGTAATATTTTATATTTTGTGGTATAAATCAAACAAATAACAAATAAGCTTTTATTTTGTTTCCCGCGCCCTAGTGTACCATACCCCCACCCCCTGCCCATTCTTCATTTATTTTGTGGCGGTAGGTCAGTCCATCAAAAGACCCGAAACAAGAACCAAACTCAAATTTCAGTTCTAGCGGCCAGCAATAGTAAACACACACACGCAAAGTACGTGAGAATGCATGTGCACCCATACACTAAAACATGCTGGTGGCAAAACAGATCAGACCTGAGAGAGTTCAAAAAATCTGAAAAAACATACAATCACATATTTTTGTCGAAACATATTGCGTGTGTACTAACACATGCAAAGATGTTCTCTCTGCGCTCTCTCACTCATGATGACGTCACTCTGGGGTACGGATAGCGCAAGTCGGTGTGTGACACTTTCGTTGTATGAACTGGCACATCTATATACTGTATGGTTAGTGGTTTTGCTCATGACGATTGAACGAACTTAGCCCACTTAAGCCCCCTTTATTTAAACAGTTCAACGACTACAGGTAACTGGCGAAAAATATTAACGATAGTAAATTCTTCTTGACATATCTTTCAATTGAACTGCGCTCAAACTATTCAATTTTCATTATTTTCGGTGGAATATTAAAATACCCCCTTGGCTTACAATGGGTTAATCGTTATCCAACAAGGATTGGAAACCATATTCCTCGATTATGATATTCCGTCAAATATTATTAGCTAGATAGAACTTTCAGCATTGTCCACATAATTTTATCCGATTAATGAATCAATTTTCTACTTGATTGGCTTATTTTTAATAGGTGCATTTATTGGATCTTGTCTAAAAAAAGGTTTTAACGAAAGAGGTAAAACAAATAACGTAAATGATCATTCTGCTGTCACCTTGTTGAATATTGTGATGCTGAACAGCTGACTGGTTGGACAATCGAAAGCTGACTTGTATGAGACACATCTTACGGTACTTGAGTATCGACATCTCAGCCGTTTTTTTTTATATTCAATTTGAAAACCCCTACAGTTCCTGAATCAAATGCAACATTTTCTTTAAAGAAATTCATTAAATTTTGACTTTATTCCAAAAAATACTTGGTTCCAAATTGATTTGGAACATTAACGGTGAACTCCATTATAGATTTCCAAACAAATCATGAAATATCTATCACAAATACTGAGTTACTGCAGTTACTCCACGTCAACGTCTTTGGTGACTCGTCCCACCCAGTAGACGAAACTAGTTTGTACCACAGTAGCCATGAACTTGACGTTGCCCTTGTAGCCTGCTGGTGGGATCCATTCGAATTTGACGCTAGTCAGTGGACTGCCCTTGGTGGCCTTCAGGTGAGTCAGCGTGTCTGCCTTGCCCGAGCAGTCCAGTGTCTGGGAATGGGCGGAATCGACCACCTTAAATTGGCCCACCACCCGGTTCTGTCCGTCGCGGGCCTGGATCATGAAGCCAAGGAACTCATCACCGCCGAGGGTAAGCTCTAGTTTCTGACCGCCTTGTACATGCGGGGGACCATCTATTCTGTACGGGGGCTTCTCCGTCTGCAGCTTAGCCCCGTGCTGTGGCGTCAGGTCCCGACAGGCGGCCTTGGGAGCACCATCCGAGTAGGCGTGGACACTGATGGCCAGGCAGGCAGCGATCACGAGGAATCGGAACATTGTCGCTGTGTGGGAAGAAAGGGGAATAATTATAGTCAAACACTAGCATTTATTTAAATTTTTCAATAACTAAGTTCCTCTGTGGCTGCTGCTGCTTTTACATTCGCATGGCTTTTAGCTGCATTTAGTTGCTTTTCGTTCATTAATTAATTAACATCTGCACTAAAGTGAGACTTTTTGCGGTGAGGCCTTGGCCAGCTTGACTATGTGGTGTAGTTTGTGTCTTTATAAATGTATATTTTGCTCAAACGTTTTTACATACATATATCTACATACATACATACGATGTACATATGAATATGCAATTATAAATGCATCGGAAACCTGCCCCGATTATGCAGTTTGCCAGCGCCGTCTTTATTATGCAGTTTGTTCAGTTTCTATCGCGAGTCATGCCACGCATACATACATATGTATATTTGCAAACATATGTTTGGCACAGCCTTGGCAGTTGACAGCTGGGGATTCTAATCTAAGACCTGAGAGTGGGCTGGAACCTTTTTGTAACTGCCAGAGATTGAACTCTGAAGAACAAGTTGGAGCATCATAAATACTTTTAGCACTTTGCATGCTTCAGTTTGGCTAAACGAACAAAACCAATTGACAGTTTAAGCACGCTTTTGTCATAAATCTTCCATTCGCAAAAATACGACGAAGAAGGAGACAAACGGAGATCTGTACATACTGTGTGTGTATAATCAAACAATTATAAACTTGGCCAACTTGCAAGCTGATTAAAACAAATTTGTCAAAATCAATAAACTGGTTTTTCGGCCAAACACGAAAACTTTGAAAACCCGTTTTTAGTACATCATTTCCATACGATATGAACGATAGACTTTATAATTATTTTCTGAATTGTCACTACTCTTCGATTATAATCGAGTTAAAGTGCTTGACAATTGGAGAATCGTGTACAACATTAAATGTTTAATGCTTCCTCAGACAAACTTCAGGTTCAAGGTAGATCTGAGTGAAGTCGAGTCGAGTGTGGAGAGATCTAATTGAGCGGCAAAGCTCTTGTCGCAGCTCTTGGACCCGAGCTCGAACAGTTCGAAGAGACCTTGTCAACCAACGCCTAAGACCCCAGCGCGAAGACAAGACCCGATTTGTCTTCTTGCAATATGCTAAAGTTCAGCATTGGACAAGTTAATGTCTACGTCTGCGCCAAGTCTCGCCTTACTTTGTCTTCTGTTTTTGTCGTTTCTCTATCCGTGTGTTTATGGGCCTTTGTCCAACCGGTTGTTTGATTTGTTTAGATAAAATCTCATTGGTAATTTAATTTTTTGGTTTTTGCGTATTTCTGTGCCTGCCATTACGCTGAGCTCTTGGCAGAGGCCGCAATTAGCCCGGCTCTGTAATATATGTATTATGATTATCAAATGGCTGGATGGAGTTGCTGAAGCTTGAAGTTCCCATAGAATTCAAAACTATAGAAACTCATTTTAAACGGCAGGCCAAACGTTAAATATAAATACAGTAATTAAGGGAAGATTCAAAACAATAGGCTAATACTATTATTATATCGTAGAAGGTCTCTCGGTTAGATTTACAGAATCTTAAGTGGCTATAGTAAAGAATTTTGAGTTAATTGCTTGGGTCCATTGCAATGCCATTGAAAGGACTTTGATGTGTTCCTAGCAGTTCACAGAATGACAGTGCAACAGCCTAGGACAAAGAATTTTTCATTTGTTTCTCTAAAAGAAAAGACACCACACTACAGAAATTTCCAGCCTTCACTAAACTGATCTGATCGCTTGGGATCATCAATAGTATTATCCACTTATCCACTTTGGTACTCGTATTACATACCACTCTTAGAGAAAGACTAGCACAAACGATTCAAAAGAAAAACTTGAAATGAGCTGAAAATTCTACAACAGCTTCGTATTTATACGAAAAGGGGATCTGCAATACAAGCTGCTGAGCTTTGCCGATCGATTGGACTAAAAAGCAGCTACGGTCTGACACAAAAGCTCCAGCCCAAAATGTAAAATGACAGTATACAATTCAGTTCATGGGGACGGGACCGTCCTAGGAATAGAAAAGCTACAATGGAAGACTAAGCTATGACTAAGGTGTTTACTTCGGACTAAAAAAAAAATGCCAGGTTAATTAGCAATTCGATCACAGAAAAACTCGCAAACTACAATTCGCTAATAAATGTCACACCTTGGCAGTAGAAAGTTGGATCAGTATGAATAGATTAACTTAGGAAATCGATATGAGGTCTGTTCCGGAATTCATTTTTGAACAGATTACGCGACAACATGGTTCTGTTCCTGGCTCTAATTGTAACACATTTTGGAAAGTCAATTTACTTGATCGACTGGAATTCAAATTTCCAATAGTAGGATAATAGAATTACTGACTTTCAAAAATATTTATCAGTAGTATATTTTACAGAAAACGTACTTAGCACTTAAAAATTATGATAGAAGTGTAGTATAGGTGCAGCTACATATAAATATACTATCCTTTAAATAAAATAAATAAATAATTTCCCAAAGATTTCATTCTCATTTTCTAGTTAATTCAGTTTTCCAAGAACCGAATCCTTCGAAAATGAAAAAGTTATAGCTAATTTAAAGCAATATACATACATAAGTACATACATATACACGACTATATATACAAAACTATTCTATGCCAAGCAATTTATCGGTTTGCATCTCTGATTTAAATAGTGTGACATTTGGAGAATGCATGTACTATAATTTGATTTATTCGCCAGTCTAGTAGGCCATCCTGTCGGTTTCTCAATCTCTGTCTTCTGAAACATATTATTTCTCCATGAAAAGTATGGGGGCAGAACAATCGGCTTTATGGGCTTCCACACAATTCGGACAGCACGAAGAGACCTTAGAACTGGTAAATTCGGAATTGTTTTTTTGTTCGTATTTCGAAAAAATGGCTGAGCCCAAGACGGGTCCTGTGACACAAGCTCTACTGCGTTTGGTGGAAAACATGCCAAAAAGAAGAGAATCGTTTGTAAGTAAGTAACTCTCCCGATATGAAAGGATCAGGTATTCAGATCTAACCAAGCAGAAGATGCAGCTGCACCACAAACCAATATGAGTTCAGGAAAGAATGGAGAGGAAGATGATGATTTCCACTACAGTGATGGTGGCTTCGTTATAGATTCCATGGCACACATAGAGGAAGAGAGCTACGACGATCACCTGGATTTGGAGCCTCTGCAGATAGCCGAATTCGAGTCCACGGATGAGTATGATATAGTCGCCGAGCCAGTTGACCCTTGTCCATTGCAAGATGCCCTGCCGATGTTCGAGTTGAATGTGGATGACTTTTGAGCAAAGAAACTCAATTTTAATTTAAAATATGAATTTATTTACAAAGCTAATTGCAATTTGTTGAACCTCCCTACTTAAAGTTAACCTTTTTTAGCCTCAGCGATTTGATGGGTCTGACGATACTTCTCCTCTCGTCGCGATGCTTCTTCAGCTCCGCCTCGCGTTTCTTAGCGTGGTACTGTGACTTCTTCTGCTTGTTCACCTCGAAGGTCATTTGTCGATTGCCTAACGAGCGGCCCACATTGGTCACCTGACCTTCCAGCTGGGACATGACGCGTACTCGATCCTGCAGGCTGGCCTGCTTTATGCGCTGCTGCATAAGGCTGTTTCCTTGGTGCTGATCAAGCGGTGTCATTGTGAAGCGTTTGGGAATTGCATTGGTGGATGGATTATGGTAATTTCCATTTTTCAAGGGTCTTGCTTGGTCATTAGTGGCTTCCTTTTGAAGCTGTTTATTATCTTCTGCTTCTCCTATCTCCTCCTCTTCCTCTGCTTCATCCTCGCGCAGCCGCTTCACCTGTTTGTAGGCCTGTTTCATTTCCTTGACATATTCCCGTCTGTCATCGTCATCCGAAGAGGCCTCATCACCACTCTCCTCTTCCTTCTCGCGGTCGCTCTTTTCAAAACCGAATAGATCCTCGTCATTATCGCTGTCGTCCCGTTGCTGAGCCTCATCGGCATGCAGCTCGGCCACTCTAGCCACCTCCACCCTCTGCTTCAACTCCTTGGCCTTGGACTTGTCCAAGCGGTTGAGAACAGGAGCCAGAAGACGATACTCCTCCGCCTCTTTGTTGACCGCAAAGTCAGAGTTCTCGAACATGGCCTTGAAACGTGAATCCTCCAGAAGATTGGGCACATTGCGCTGCTTGGCATTGTTTGAGGGATTGGCCTGCTCGTCCATAATCTTGAGAGCCAGCTCCTTGTTGACTTTTGGCAGTTTCGAATCGATCTGCAGACGCGACTTTCTCTCGCTTTCGATCTCCTGCCGGATCTTATCCTTGCGGAACCGGTCAAAGGCGAAGGGTTCAACAACAGTCTTGGCCTTATTATACAAACGAGCGTCCATAAAGTAGCTAAAAAAAGAATACATTTATTTCCCGGCTCAATCCAAGATTAAGTTCGGCTTTGCACTCACCCATGCATGTAGCCCTTGAGTAGATTGGTGCCAACAAGATGTTCCATGCCCAATTCCGCCAGCTCCTTTGCCGTCACAAACTGATAGTCATCGTAGACATTCTCCAGAACCTCTGATTCGATCTCCTCAGTGAGATTGTCCAGGAACGAGCACCAACGGGGAGCCGGTCCCATTGCGGGGACGTAGTAGGTCAACATTTTCACATCTTCCTGGGCCAGGAAGAACATGCCAGTATCGGGTATGGTACAGAAATCGTTGAACGAGCTGGTTGACTCTACATAGGCGATCTGCTTGCCCGTCTGCTCATCCCACAGTTTCAGCGTCGCCTCGTCTAAGCTATAAACAGCATTCTGGGCAGGGTTAAAGGCCAACCGTTTGATAGGCAGTCGATTCAGGTGATTCTTTACTAGCAGTGGCTGCTTGGCACGTATATCGTAGATAAGAACATGACCAGAGGCTGTGCCCACAGCCATATGCAAACCACTACGATATTTTAGAGCTGTTACTGAGGGAAACTCCTTGACTCCGGGCAATTTCATAGCCACGTCCAAGGTGGAGCAGCGTTGCTTTGTTCGCGGGTCCCATGCCTCAACTGTGCCCTCTTTAGAGCCGGCAACGAGTAGATGATGCTCGAGGTTCACATCGCAGGCGTTCAGACAGCTGGCATCTGTCTCAAAGGGCTGTAGGAACTGTCCACGCTCCAGATTCAGTCGATAAATATCCTAGAAAAGAAGCGATCAGAATGGAGAAGGGATCGATGGTGTTTATGCTCACCTTGCCCACTCCTACAATGTACATATCACAGCTGGGCTTGTGGTACTTCATGTCTCGTCCAAAGCGTGGAATCCTGAGCCTATAATGCCGTCCGTGGGCCGCATGAATCTCTACATAGCGGTCGCATTGCAGGAACACCATTTTACAATAGTCGTCGCTAATGACTTCGAACGTGGTCACCTCAGAGTCAAAGCAGCGCTCAAATTTAATGGAGAGATTGGAGACTTCAAAGCATTTGACACGCGGCTTGTACGTTCCTGTGGCTAGGATGTATTGCTGGTCGGGACTCATGCGAATGCTGGTGCACACGCCGGGCATGTCAAAGTCTTGGATGAGCTCGATCTGCCGCCGCGAGTCCACCTTCTTCATCAGCTTTGACTTCTTCCGCCGATCCGTCAGCCACTAAAAGAGACAACTTTCATTTGGCTGCTTCATTTCTTAAATAAGGTTTAACTTACATCCGGCACCGACTTTCCGGCACTCAGGTTGTATATTTTCACATCGTTTACTTCGTTCACGAACATGTTTTCGGCAATATATTAAAAAAATACTGCACATAAACAAACGAAGCACGTGCGCCGCGCTAGAGCTGCAAAGTCAATCGATAGTATAAATACAATCGGTTGTGTAAATGGATTGTTTAAAGCAGAGCTGCATTTTCAGTGCGCAATGTGCTCAAATGCGCATTAAATTGTTTCATAAATTTCCATTTTTTCGGATTCAATATTTACATTCCAAATTTTAAGTGTGTGTTTGCAAACCTGTAAAAGTAATAGTAAAATTATTTGGTTACTTTCTTGCCCAGATTTAGCCGCGCATCTATCGATAGTGAAAAAAATTCGATAGATACGATAGCAGTCACGACGGTATTGCAGCTCTAATCGATACGCAAAATGCAATAAAAGCAGGTATTAAGAATAATCCAGTTAAATAGAAAATTGATTCATCAATCGTATAAAATTATGATGGCATGGCTAAATGTTCTATATAGCTAGTAATATTCGTCGGAATATCAAAAACAAGGAATATGTAAATTATAACTTGTATTCGTCAGTATACCTACGGCATATTTTTAAATGAGGCGGTATGTTTCGGTATATTTCTGAGGGTCGGACGTTTTATAGATAAATCCGCGGTCACACTAGCAAAAACAAGAAAACGCAAAAGAAAAGTTTCTACTGTTTTTGTGTAATTTGCAATTAACAATAATTAAATCAATACCATTTTGGTCGCCTTGCCCTTGCCCATCACACCAGTGCGTGTATGTGCACAGTGCTGTACTGCAGTTTGAATTCGAAGATATCTGGTTGAAAAACCTGCTTGCCCGAAAACAACAATACACATACACAGGCGCACAGGTACACAGGAATACGCAGCCCCCCGCCAGCACTTCGTAACGTAACCGCCCTACATTCCATCCGCTCCCTAAGGTGAACTAAAACGGTGAGTAATATTGCGGTATGCTCGTGTCTAAGCCAATTAGAAGCGCTGTGTTTCTGATTAAATTATTTAAAATGGAAAACTATCTGCCGAAGAGTGGTGGGTGGTGGATTGGTTGTTCCTGACGCGTCATACTTCCCCATGTACTAAAATTGTACTCGCTCTCTCCCTCTCTCTTCCGCTCTTAATTTTTCTGTATTTTGCTGAGTACTCCTTCCCCCGCGCTGCCCGTATCCCCTGTAACTGTATCCACCCCTCCAATGGCTTTCGCCGTTGTTTTGGGTCCGCCTTTGTGCCTTTGTGCTTCTCGTGCACACTGTGCACAGCACCCCCTGGTTGGTTGGGGCGGGGTGCTGGATTGATCCATTCTACGCATTTTAGACCTCACAGTTTCCGCCCCCCTCCCAACTTCAGCCGCTCAGCGCTCCTTTGGCTGGGTGGCCTCTAGTGTGTCGACTGATAAGACTCGAGACCAGCGACCCGGACAAATCTAAATTTCATGTCGCGGGATGCCAGGGAGTCTATAAAATTGATTATTATTGTGCCGTTTCAAAAGCAATTAAACAGTATGGAGGGTATACGGATCGGAGGGGCTCACGTATCATACCCAAGTCTTGGAAATAGGTCAAGAGTGTCTGAGAAAAGATTTTTACTTTTCTTCCCATTGCCTAGCCCCTCTTTACAAAGATAATGTATAGTGAAAGCTCTCTAACTTACTTTTAGACTCATCCGGGATTACTAGTACTAGTTAATAATTTGTAGACATGACGAGTCTCTTTATTATGAACAAGAGTAAGAGAAATTATTTTGTTTTGCTTACCATGTAAAAATAGGCAGATAAACAGCTACATACCAACGCAAGTATTTCTTGGACTTGCGATATACTCGAAGAGGGAATGAATGAGCGAAAGCGCATATCGAAAGGCTAGTGAAACAGCTAGTGTTCCTGGTAATCTTCAATTGCATTCAACTGCCACGCTGGCACCGCGACCTTGAGACCAGTATCGTCACACTTCAGTCAATGGTATGCTCCATTCACTTGCGCCTCTCGCAAGCACGGCCCCTATAAAAGCCCTCGGGGCGATGCTGACACTTCAGCAACTTCACATCAAGTGTCATGCGTGCTGCCCCCTGGAGGGTTTTGCCCGCCTCAACATCACTTTGGCTTTTTCGTTGGGTTCGATTCAGTGATCAAAGAAACCTGGTCGGCTGTTCAAATACAGGCATGCCTAGAAAAATATCGGGGGCAGCTCACAAAAAAGGGGGAACAAAATGTTGTGAAGTTGGAGTCACCTCGACGCCGCAGAACGAATTGATGTAGCGCGGCAATAACTTGATAAGCATTCTGTGGTAGTTCCCGTGCATGTGCCTGCATAAATATAGCACAAACCTCTTCGTTGACTGTTTTCTTGGGTTGAAGGGTCAGCACAATGGCTGTCAAGATGAGCAAAATACGAGGCATTGCGAACAAACTGCACGAACGCATAGACTGTCTTATTGAAAAATGTGTGGATGTTGCCGAAGAAGCTGGTTTTTGGAAGTGACTAAATTTCTTTGTCCTCTTGCAGGTCCCAATATGACGGCAGCCCCGTACAACTATAACTACATCTTCAAATATATCATCATCGGGGACATGGGCGTGGGAAAGTCCTGCCTGCTGCATCAGTTTACCGAAAAAAAATGTGAGTTGATCTCCAGCGAAATATCGAGCCTTCCACTAAACTATTCCCTTTTCTCAAGTCATGGCCAATTGCCCGCACACCATTGGCGTGGAGTTTGGCACGCGCATCATCGAGGTAGACGACAAAAAAATCAAGCTACAGATCTGGGACACAGCGGGCCAGGAGCGATTCCGGGCAGTTACACGCTCCTACTACAGAGGAGCCGCCGGCGCCCTAATGGTTTATGATATAACGAGACGGTGAGCAGATTCAAAGGAAGATCCTAATCTGTAAGACTCGAGCTTAATCCTTATGAAATTTTTTTAGCTCCACGTACAATCACTTGAGCAGCTGGCTCACCGACACTCGCAATCTCACAAACCCCAGCACTGTAATATTTCTTATTGGTAACAAGTCCGACCTGGAGAGCACTCGTGAAGTGACCTACGAGGAGGCCAAGGAGTTTGCCGACGAGAATGGCCTCATGTTTCTCGAAGCAAGTGCAATGACGTAAGTATAAACCAGCAGGAAATTAAGTGCAATTCCGAAATAAAATGTATTCCAACAGTGGACAAAATGTTGAGGAAGCTTTTCTCGAAACCGCACGCAAGATCTATCAGAACATCCAGGAGGGACGGCTCGATCTAAATGCGTCCGAGTCAGGGGTGCAGCACCGACCCTCGCAGCCAACACGAACCTCCCTAAGTAGCGAGGCCGCGAATGTCAAGGATCAGTGCTCATGCTAAATGGATAAACCTTAACTTTACACACTCCTAGTTATAAAAATCTATCTTAATTTTTAGCCCAACTCGTAATCATAATGATTTCCGATATATCGAAAGCAAGCAAGAAACCAATGTATCTATCTAGTTGAATGATTCGATTAGTCGTGGACGTGTGAACAGAACAACTAAACCAAAATATAAAAGCCCCCCCTCCCCATAAATAAGCAAAAATTCAACATTTGTATTATGGAGAAAGCATATTTATTAGAAAATTGATACAATTGTTGGTTAGCGCGAGTATTTCCCACGGATCGTTAAAGGAACCAAAGTTTTGACTATGAAATTTCGAAAGGTTTATCGCTCTATACCATACACTTAAGAATTTGGTACACACACACCTTAGGTACTTTCGTTCTATAAACCTTGTGTTTTGTTGGCTCTATCTCTGTATATATATGAATTTTGTATCTCCTTTATAAACACTTTTTTGTTGAGTATTTGTTGTAGACGCGTGCGAAGTAATAAGTAAACGAACAATGTTATATGAATATTAACGACGTATTAATGGCATAATGCAATAGGAAATAAAGAATTGGTATTTATAAAACCCCCAATATGAATGACTTTCCATCTCTAATTCAAATGCTAAATAGAAACACTGTCGTGCGTTTGAAAAGAAGCGCAATCATCATGCATATCAAGTCAATGACTCATCGCACACTTGGGCGCCCTGCTAAATATTGTGTGCGCACACCGCTGTGCTGGCTGTGTTCTTGCATTTGTATGATTTCCGTTTCTTGCAAATTAGTAAGAAATGGGTCTATACAACTTGTAGTGTCATACTTGAGCATCTGATTTGAAAACTTTTGTCCATTTCCGAATTATAAATGCCAGCAATTCCAAAACCGCAGAACAATCGAAGAATACGGGAGAACACATACCCATTAATTAAAATACGCAGGACCCTCAACACAAAACAAAAATTTAAAAAAGCATAAAATCAAATACTTTCACACTATTTTATGTGTGTTACAGGAGCACATGCAACGCGGCTCGAACCGAACGAGAGCCAGAGCCTGGGACCCAATGCAGAAAATTCGGTTGCTATGTTTTCGTTGTATGAACTGACCCATCTATGTATATACTGTATGATTAGTGATATTATATTATCAAAGACTATACAATACCCCGATGTTTCATGAGGGACCAAAAAGATGTGCTGTGGCGGTCTTTTTAGTGATGCCCCGTAGAAACTCCTCTTTTCACCTACATCCGGCCCCGCTGTCTGTTCAGTCAATGGCTTGGGCAGCTGAGTCGGTGCCAGAATCTAACAACAAATACACAGTCTTCGGGGAGGCGCAGAAAACAAGAAAACAACAATCTTTGATACACCAAACCGATGTTCGAGACAGAGGTATATGCAGCGTTTCCATTTTTTGAAATTTTCGGACCGAAAATTGTGCCCCGATTGTCATTTAACATAACACTTCATGTGAGTGAAGGTTGTTTATACTTTTCCACCCGGAGGCCTGTGAAAAGATACTTCGTACATAAACCGCAAATCCACATATGTGGAGCGATCCCGTTTGTCACCTTTTTATATACAAAATGACAAATTCATGATTAAAACAGAAATATGACAAAAAATACTCTTGTTTTGCCAAATATTTGTGTATTTAAGGAAACTTAACTGTAATCTTCGTATCACCGACCATTTAAACCGTATAATTTGGTAGCTACCCTGGTGAAGGCTTTTAATGAATATTTTAAGGACGTCCATTACACGCCGCAGGCCGGTATTTGACTCATATAAAATTCTCTTTCAAATTTCCTATACATTTAGAAATTTAATCAGATATAAAAGCGTTATCGGTCAGTTCTTTCCATTGACAAGGCACTGGTACTTCAAAAAGTCATGTTTAACCTACAGCAATACACAGCTATCACTTTTCGTTTACCAGTTCAATGTGTTTGGCTGAAGCTGAATGGCTCTTGGCCATTTGTGCCCTCATCAAGGAAGGATAACAGCTCAATGTGTTCTATACTATACACCGCGTGGGCTTGGTACGTCATAGCATCCGTTGGTATAACGATCGGGTTTCAAACAGCATATTTGGTAACCCACCTTTCCGATATTATTATGACTACGGAAAATTGTTGCACCACATTCATGGGCGCCCTAAACTTTGTGAGATTGCTTCATTTACGATTTAACCAGCGAAAATTTCGGCAATTAATTGAACAATTTGAACGCGATATTTGGATTCCAGAAAACACCCACATCAGTGTTAACGCCGAGTGCCATAAGCGAATGTTTACCTTTACCATCATGACGGGTCTGCTTTCCTGCCTAATATGTATGTACTGCGCCCTGCCGTTGGTGGAAATATTCTTTCGTACTGGAGTAGACGCAGTAGAGAAACCATTTCCCTATAAAATGCTGTTCCCATACGATCCGTACAGCAGTTGGATGCGTTATGTCTTCACCTACATGTTTACGTCGTATGCCGGAATTTGTGTGGTGACCACATTGTTTGCCGAAGATTCAATTTTTGGGTTTTTCATAACGTACACCTGTGGACAGTTCCGACTGCTGCATGAACGTGTCGACAACGTACTGACTGCGGCTAAAGAACGAGCTGACGAGCAACATTTGCAGCTGCAACGACTGCACAATATTGTTCAACAGCACAACAAAATTATCAGGTTCGCCAAGTGTTTGGAAGACTTTTTTAATCCCATACTCTTGGTGAATCTAATGATATCATCGCTTCTAATTTGCATGGTTGGTTTTCAAATAATTACTGGACAAAATATGTTCATTGGAGAATACGTTAAATTTATTGTGTACATATCCTCCGCGATTTCACAGTTATATGTGCTTTGTGAAAATGGTGATGCGTTGATTATACACTCCACAAATACAGCACGCCACCTCTATGGATGTGATTGGGAGAATCCAGACATACGCAATTTTTATTCATACACTTCCATGAGCCATCAGTTCCGCAATGACTTAAAATTTATGATACTGTGTAGTCAACGACCAGTCAGAATAACGGCGTTTAAATTTTCAACTCTCTCTCTTCAAAGCTTTACGGCGATTCTAAGTACATCAATGAGCTATTTCACATTACTGCGTTCGCTTTACTACGAAGATCAATTGTAAAAGATTCTCTCACGCATATCATATAATAAATAGCACTTTTCCCCCAAAAAAACTTTTTTAATTTACACACGTAATTTGCGCCATATCTAATATGGCGTTGGCCTGAACAACTACATATATACCTAGTTCAAATTATAAATTCTCTAACATTAGTCTGCATTACATAATAGTGTTAGCAAGTTGGATGTTTGGTGGGATGGGATTAAAATTTATAGCCGTTTTTATGGATTGTTTAATAATATCCTCTGAGCACTAGGCGCTAGGCGCAGTAAGACAAGGCTCTATCGACTCGGCTATTGATGCTGATCAAGATTATATGTACTTTTCGGTCGGAAACGCTTCCTTCTGGACGTTACAGACATCCATTTTCATCACAAATCTAATATACCCCAATACTCATTTTGAGTATCGGGTATAAAAACTTCCATCGCGGAATTCATCTGATTTGTTTTAAATTGCGCGGATTGTTGCCTATTTGTATTCCAGTTCTTAGTATTATTCGGAGGAAAAACGAGTTGATGGAAAACTATTCCTAGGGAATCTAAGGAAGCAAGACAATTCTTTCATTTCAACTGAACGGTAAATTTCAAGCTTTACACGACCGTCTTGTCATATCCTAGAACTACGAGCTCGCATGGAACCATAGTTTATTATCTTATCCTAATATTTGTACCAAAACGATGTTATTCAACAAGCACAGCCTTTTCAGAACAGCCAATATTATTTCAGAGTTATAGTAAATCATCGTTGTTACCTGTCACAACAAAGACTACATCTACATTTTACATCTGGTCTCGGTGCCTTTTTTAGTGTGATACTGAAATACGATACGACCACTAACCATACAGTATATATACTGTATACTGTATGGTTAGTGATACGACTTTAAGTCAATCGATGGTTCTGAGCGATCAATACTATCGCAAGAACGGAAGGCCACCACTGAAAGTTGTCTCCCGCATTTTCCTCCATATTGGTTTTTGTGTGAAGATGGCGTTGGCGGATTTTATAATATCGAACCCAATTAACTAATCGAAACTAATTAAAATAAAACTCGCATTTAGGTCCAACGTATAGTTAAGCACTGTGTCATTAGACGACACATTATAATGGCGGAAGTAAAGCATCTGGAGGATCCCCACAAATCGGAGAACGACAGGAAAATGTACAAGTAAGTGAATTGGTGAGACACGCCATCGAAACGATACTCAATTGCCTTTTAGATCTCTTGTGCTGGGCAATGGGTTACAAGTTTTGATCGTTTCGGCACCATCGGTTGGCATTGGATTTCCCAATAACTCCTCCTGTGCCTTGATGATCGACCACGGTTCATTCGCCGATCCGTGCAACTATCAGGGCCTGGCCCACCTTCTGCAACATATGGTATTCATGGGCAGCACGCCAGATTCGGCGGAGAATGTCTTCTTTGCGCATGTGGAAAAAAACGGCGGCGAATGCTCCTCATCAATCTTCAGCGAGGACACGCTTTTCTCGTTTACTGTACCCGATGAACACTTGGATTCGAGTTTAGAATACTTAATGTTCTCTCTGAAGCATCCGTTGATGCTGCAGGAGACTATGGAACGTGCCCGCGCTCTCGTGGACTCTGAGTTTCAGCAGAAGGTGCAAAAAGATGTATTGCGTCGCAACCAGCTGCTCGCCAGTCTGGCTACCGATGGCTATCCGCATGGCTCCTTTAACTGGGGTAACATGAAATCGCTTAAGGATAAAGTCGATGACAGTGCCCTGCACAGAGCCCTTCACGATGCCTGGCGCGATAACTATGCGGCCAATCGCATGTACGTGTGCCTGCAGGGTATCATGCCTATCGATGTGCTAGAGAACATGGTGGTACGCCACTTTTCCAAGCTACTCCGCAATGACATCAAAGCGCCCGACCTGACCAAGTTCGATTACCGCAACGCCTTCCGTCCGGCGTTCCACGAGCAAGTCTTCCTCGTGAAGGCCGTGGAGAAATGGCGCAAGTTTGAGCTAACCTGGGTGCTTCCTAACATGCGTCAGTACTATCACAGCAATCCGGATAAGTTACTCTCCTACCTGATCGAGTACAAGGGAAACGGTAGTCTCTACGCCTACCTAGAGCGCCGCCACTGGGCCCACTATCTCCATGCTGGCATAGACGAGACCGGCTTCAATCTACACTCAATGCACTCATTTTTTAAAGTGGACATTGGCCTCACCGACGAGGGATTCCAGCACATCGATCAGGTTCTGTCCGCCACCTTTGCCTTTTTGAAGGTCTTCTCCAACTGTTCCAGTGGTTCCTTGCGTCAGTTGTACGAACAGCAGCAGAAGAGTAAGGTCGCAGAGTTTCGTCTCCCTGACCGTATCGATAAACACGATGTCGATGAACTGGTCTTCAAAAGCAAATACTATCCCCCCAAGGATATACTCACCGCCAGGGAGCTCTACTTCGACACCGACGAGCAGCACCTGTCCGTACTGATCGGCCACCTGAACAGTTTTAAATTCAATCTAATGATTACCTCGCAAGAGCCGTGCGAGGGCATGCCATACGACAAGCGGGAGGAGTGGCTCGGCACCGAGTACACCACTTTACCGATGCCAGCAAAGTGGAAGAAGCTGTGGATCGAATCAGAGCCCATTGATGAGCTCTTTCTACCCGTAGCCAATCCCTTTGTGGCCCACGACTTCAAGATGTTTTGGAATGAGCAGGGCAAGCCCACGCTGCCACCTTACCCCAAGAGGTTGGTAAAGACAGACACCTGCGAGCTGTGGTTCCGACAGGATGACAAATTTGGGAAGCCGCAAGCCTACTTATGCTTCTTTTTCATCACGCCGCTGCTGAGTCAGAGTGCGAAGAAGTAAGCGATTTATATTTCACACTAGCCATCTAGTCATCGAATGTATTTCCAATAGTTCTTTCTTGACGCTCCTCTTTTTTTTTTTTTAGTGCTGCTATGTGCGACTTGTACGTTTCATTGGTGAAAGCGCACGTGCACAAGGAAATGGTTCTCGCCAAAAAGGCAAATCTCAGCTACTGCTTCATGGTTTACGACAATGGTTTGCGGCTATTTGTGAAGGGCTACAATGAAAAGCTCCATCTGATTGTGGAGGCCATTGTCGAAGGTATGGTCAGTGTGGGCGCCACCCTCTGTGAATGTTTGCTCACCACCTACCTCGAGATGCAGGGAGAATCCTACTTAAAACTACTGAAATGTCCATCCCAGTTAGCAACGTAAGTGATCTCCATATTATATCTGCATTTCGAATTATAATCTGTGATTTTAGGGACATCCTCGCTCGTGTGCTTGGAGAAAATCCATGGGCCACAATTGACCAGTACAAGTCCCTTAAAGACATCACCATGGAGGATCTCAAGGTATTTGCCCAGAAGTTACCACAAGAGATGTACATCAAGGCCCTCGTACAGGGAAACTACACGGAGGAGTCAGCCCACAAGGTGCTCAATTCGGTACTCAGCCGGTTGAAATGCGAGCCCATTAAAGATCATCGGCTCGTAGAGAATCGCATCGTAAAGCTTCCGCAGCACCGCCCAGTCTTCTGCTACGACACCGCCTGCCTGCACACTACAACCACTACTATCACGAACTTCTACCAAATCGGAGCAAACTCTTTACGCGTGGAGGCCATACTCGACCTCTTGAATACGTTGTTCAATAGCCCGGACTTGTATCTCAAGAAACTCGGCGAAGAGATTAATGGCTGGGTCCACGTCAAAAACGGCATTGTCGGCTATACCCTTACGGTAAACTTGAAAGAGACTTTTGAAGAGGACCGCGCCAAACAAATGCAGAACGAGATTGAGGTATTTCGCTGTAAGGTTTGTATGATTCCCATGCAAATGGAGGCCAAATGCTTTGCATCCTGGGTAGACGACCTTCTCCATTGGGGACTTGCCCCTGCACTTACTCTGTTGGATGAGGTGGCAGAGAATTTTCGCGAGATCATCGGCGGGGACTATATATTCGGTCGTAGACAGAAAAAGGCCGATGTGTTGCGCACTCTAACCAAATCGGATGTCATTCGCTTCCTATTCGATACCGATTGGCGCGAACTGTCTATTCATGTCATAGGACACCAACCGTCAGATACAGTAGACGAAGAGGAAGACGACGTCGAAGACGAAGGGGAGGACGAAGGGGAGGACGAAGACGAATACGAATACGAAGAGGAGGACGATGTCAAAGAGGAAGGGGAGGACGAATACGAATACGAAGAGGAGGACGATGTCGAAGAGGAAGACGATGTCGAATACGAAGTGGAATACGAACACGAATTAGAAGTCATGAACAGTGCCATTGCCGAATTCAGAAGTGGTCTCGAGATTTACCCCAAGCGCTCTGTAGAACCATGTGCTGAAGGAAACTAGACGTACCGCAGCCGTCGCTGTATAAGTATTCATTTTAGAAGTATATTCCCATACATTTATCATTAACTTCACATATGGATATAGATGAATTTCTAAGTTTAGTTCAATATTAATATTACAAGAAAATTACAAGAATATAATCATCATCTTCACATATAGATATAGACTTGCGAAATGTCGTATCTGTCTGATCGTCTTACAAATCTTACATAGATGTGTTTCCCGTCGACAAGATCCTGAAATCAGGGAAGCTGACAGCTGCAAACGGCGGTGACCAGTAAGTGTGGGTTAGTCTGCTGAGCTCTGACAACATGTTCCTTTAAATGTAATATGTAATTTTGATCAACTAAATGTATAATAAATCTACGCCACAAACAAAGAAGACGTGATTCAGTCCGTGGCAGAAGAGGCGAACGGCAAGTTCTTATCACGACTGGGCTTATAGCTACAAACATAGCTTTAGAAGGGCTTCTCCTCGATCGCAGTCGAAGTCAATCGGAGGCAGATCTGTCCATACATTGAGATTTTAGCATATGATTGTCATTTGAAATCAGATCAGTTGTGAATCGACAGCAAAGTCATCAGGTGCAAAGGAAAAACTCGCTCGCCAGGGGATACGAAGACCATAACATAGAATTAAGGCAGGAAGTTTGTATCGCGGATCTGTGCAATCCTCGATAATTTCCCCCAGTTGAAAGTGGCAGCCGATGACAACAACGAAATGAAAGACAAAATACACTCATCAGGTAAAGATGAAAGTGGTTTCTGAAGTGCTTGCTGAAAATTATCAGTTATTGAAAATTAATCAAACGTTGTGGCAATTTCCAGGTAAAGGTCATGGGAATAAATCCGTTCGAAGTTACCTGTGTATTGATATCTTAGCTGTTCTTTCGCGCTCTATCGTTCGTTCTCGGCTTAGCAGCTGCCCCGAAATTCTCTAAAACTCTCTTTCTTTAGTCAGTCTTGAGCTGATCGTCATCATTATCGCCTTCATTTCTATTATCTTGATCTGATCTTGCCCCTGCATACGATCTTGCAGTTACAGACATTCGAATCGCGCTCTATATATGCATCCCCCTACACAACAACTTTCTATCGTTTTCGGCCACTACTACTGCCGCGTAATATATAAACCTCATAAAGTACATACTTGTATATGTATATTACAAAACAACATCGACTTCTTATGAACTTAAATCCAAGAGCAAGTGAAAAGGCTCATTAGCTTAATACTTTCTCTAATTTTTTTGCAGTTAGTCAGTTTGAAAAGTCTATTATGGTCTGACATACGGTCATATGAATGAAAAAAGCATGCCCAAATTGTGAATAAAAGAAATAAATGTTTGAGTGAAACCATAGCTATACCAAAGACAATATAAATAGACTAGTTACATATGTTGTCTTTGGTTGTACGCAGCTTTATTTCGACTTGTGTAGGCGTAAGTAGTAGGTGGGCGTGGTACTCGTATTTGCTATTGCAGCGACTTGACGTACTTGGGGCACAAGCATTTCTTGTTCTTCTTCTTTGTGGGTACTGCTGCCGGTGCAGTGGACTCTTCTGTTTCATCGATGTGCTCACGGTAATGTTCGGGATTGGCCTTCTCGCTGCACTTGATGGCCATGAACTCGAAGAAGTCAATGTTGCGAATATGGTAGTAGAACTGGTCCCTGAACTGGAAGTAATTTGGATACACCTTGTGCTTCAGCATGGCCAGGTAGAGGGTCAGGCGCTGCTGCTCTGATAAGTTGCGCCGCTGCTGTTCCTGATGATGGTTCGCCCAGCTGCGCTTGCTGATCTCCTGCTGCACCAATTGACGCAGACGCGGATGAAGATGGAACAGAACCGACCTGAAAATAAAGGCAATAAAAACTGAACAAGGTTTTGGCTTCTCTGCAGCACTCACTCGTTGAAACGATGCCGCAGCTTTCTGAACTTGATCCGGTCAAAGGGATTGATGAAGTGATGAATCCGATCCGAGTTGGCCAGCTGTGTAGGTAGCTCTACAAAGATCCTAAAAACCATATTCTTAGAAACAATTCCATGCGCTGCTCAATACGTACTTGGCATTTAAAACCATAGGAAATTCAATTGGTTGGGGCCCTGTCTTATAGAGTGGAAAACGTGGAAATTTAACCATATCACTGTCATAAAAATCAAAATCAAAGCTCATTCACATCGATGAAGTAGTTGCCAGCACAGAAGTTGTACTTGCCCAGGGGAGGAATCGATCTAACCAGCTCAAAGCCTGCAAAGGACCTGGTAGGAAGTTGATATGGACGGATGATGGATGGTGTTATTATTTACCCTTTCTTTTACACTCCGTTGAGGAAGATTCTAGGAAGTAGACGGTCCTCCACTTGGGACAGAAGCAGTTGATGAACTTGGTCAGTATTTCGACCCAATTGCGAAATGTGGTCGACAGATTTTTGTTAAAGTCCACCTGTAGCGTGATATCCTCACTGAGGGAAAGACCGTTGGTAGTTGGGTGAATTGGTCGAACATTCTACAGTTGCCGCTTACCGAACGACCAGAGCATTTTCGTCGCATCCAAACTTACGCAACCGGGTCGTGACAACGGCCTGCTTCTCGCTGACAGTTATCCGAAGGTTGATGCCTTCTATATCCACCATGGCGCTCTCGAAAGGCGGTGGCGGTGGCCGTTGCGTGGACCCCCCACCACTGATAGAAGCATGATTTCTCCTCTTCATCCACTCATCTGAGTCTGCCTCGGAAGATTGGCTTGCTTGAAAAGCAGGCAATTTATGTTCTGCAGCATCACCAACGGTGGATACCTCTTTGACCTCAGCTGGATTCAGCTCTTCGATCTGTGGCGCCTTGTACAACCGAATCTTAAGGTTGTCACACATCAACACCTCCGTCTCAATCTTCAGATCCACGTCCGTGAGGTGTGTGAAGGTAAAGTGGATGCCGGCATAGAGCTGGTGCTGAATGAAATAGGAATAGGAAAATAGGAACCAAATAGGCAGCGGGCTGAAGTACCAGTTCCCCGCGCGACCCTACTATAAAGCGTCTACTGAAAATAAAAATGACTTCGTAATGATTACACTATAAATTCTTGATCAGCATCAATAGCCGAGTCGATTGAGCCATGTTTGACTGTCCGTCCCTATCAGCGCCTAGTGCTCAAAGACTATAAGAGCTAGAGCATCGATATTTTGTATAGACCTCTGTGATATGTCACTGTTACAAGTATATTTCAAAACATCGCCCCACCCCTTCCGCCACCACAAAGAGTGAAAATCGGTGGCATCCACAATTTCAAAGATACGAGAAAACAGAAAACGCCGAATCTTAGAGGATTACTATATCTTCTAGAATGCAAAATCTGAACCAGATCGTATAATTATTATAGCCATAATCAAAAAAAATTTCATTCTCTCTCGCTCTGTCTCTCTCCAACACACAGGTTTCATGGTCGGCTTTGCCTATTGCAAAATATGAGTTCCTGGATCTCAGAGAATATAAAGGTAGAGCAACCAATCTTTTGATCCACACTCCTGTCATATCGAACTTGCAGAGATGTTTTTCAAATTTTTTCCCACTCCCTTCCACGCCGAATTGCTGAATCAATAGGATCAGATAGGATCAATATTATAGCAAAAATGAAAATCAATTTGCAGTGGCTACGCAGCGTTCGACGGCACGTTCTGATTGATTTTCTGTCTCTCTCGCACGTATTCTGTGTAGTTCAATGTTAGCGACGTCTGCCGGAAGAGAGCCATACTGACTATGTATGTATGTTTGGGTAAAAATTTAGAGTTGCGGTCGCAGCAGCAACTCACAACGTTCGCCCTCGTTTTTTTTTTAAATCTCGTATTTTTACTGATTTTTTCAAAGGTAGTGCTTTTAAATAGCTTAAGTGTCTTACGCCTGGTTGAATTAAACATTGCGATACTGATAAACTAATGAACGCAGCTATTAATCCTACCCGAACGTTTTGTAGCTTAAGCTTACCTACGGTATGGACAATATTAAGCTTTCAAATCCAAAATTGGTGATTTTTTAAAGGTTTTTTCGAGTTTTGTACATTAAAAACTCTGAAAAAGTCGAAATAAATTCATATCTTGTGTTCCTGCATTTTTGTTGAATCGGCATATTAATGGGGCGTCGTTTACGGTATGTCAAATTTTGCCTTTTAATTCCGATAAGGTCCTTCCCAAATGACATTTAACCGTTAAGAACGGTTTAGTGTAAAAAAAATTGTTGGTTTGGAGAAAACGGCTGCTCCCTAACCGTTTAGTGTAACCGGTGTTGCATAGTGTTATCATTGAAAGAAAAATAAAGTTTTTATGTAAATCATGTTTTTCTAGGTCTATTTTGTATAGACCCGATTTAAAAATAGCAATTTGAATTATAGTACCTACAAAATTGTGCACCTTACAGCACATTGTGTGCATTTGCAACTGTTAAATTTCTATGTTGAAAACACCGATATGTCCGATTTGTATCGATAAGTCCTATGGAAAATCACTAACCATGCAGGTACTGTAAAATTGTGGTAAGATTTGGGAAAAATATCCCATAATTACCATTTCGAAGACTAGATCTTTTTAGCCCAGAGTCACCATAGGCAGCGTCGTTTTCGGTCATGTACAAACAAATTATACTTTTTTTCCATACGATACAACGACGACTACAAATTTTTCAGCTTATTTCGGTTGATTTGCCATTTTTATACCCGATACTCAAAATGAGTATTGGGGTATATTAGATTTGTGGTAAAAGTGGATGTGTGTAACGTCCAGAAGGAATCGTTTCCGACCCCATAAAGTATATATATTCTTGATCAGCATCAATAGCCGAGTCGATTGAGCCATGTCTGTCTGTCCGTCTGTCCGTCCGTCCGTCTGTCCGTCCCCTTCAGCGCCTAATGCTCAAAGACTATAAGAGCTAGAGCAACGATGTTTTGGATCCAGACTTCTGTGATATGTCACTGCTACAAAAATATTTCAAAACTTTGCACCGCCCACTTCCGCTCCCACAAAGGGCGAAAATCTGTGGCATCCACAATTTTAAAGATACGAGAAAACAAAAAACGCAGAATCGTAGAAGATGACTATATCTTCTAGAGTGCAAAATCTGAACCAGATCGTATAATTATTACAGCCAGAATCACGAAAACAATTTCACTCTTTCTCGCTCTGTCTCACTCTAACACACAGGTTTCATGGTCGGTTTTGCCAATTGCTAAATATGAGTTCAAGGATCTCAGAACCTATAAAAGCCAGAGCAACCAAATTTGGTATCCACACTCCTGTGATATCGGACCTTGACCGTTTCATGTCCAAATTTCGGCACACCCCCTTCCGCCCCCGCAAAGGACGAAAATCTGAGGCAACCACAAATCTCAGAGACTATTAAGGCTAGAGTAACCAAATTTGGTACACACACTCCTTTAAGATGTCACTATAAAACGTATATCTCAGAATTTCGCCCCACCCCCATCCGCCCCCACAAAGTACGAAAATCTGTTGCATCCACAATATTGCAGATTTGAGAAAACTAAAAACGCAGAATCATAGATAATGACCATATCTATTAGATTGCTGAATCTGGATCAGATCAGATCATTTTTATAGCCAAAAGGAACAAATCAATTTGCAGTGGCTACGCAGCGCCCGACGTCACGCTCAGACTGATTTTCTGTCTCTCTCGCACGCACTCTTTGTCGTGTCGTTAAATATTAGCGGCGTCTGTCGGAGGAGAGCCATACTGACTTAGTATCGGGTATAACCGTAGAGTTGCGGTGTCCGCAGCAACTCACAACGTTCCCCCTCGTTAAGGAGTAGGGTCTGGCACTCAGCACAGCTTTACCAAATGTATTTTATATACAAATCTAAATCTCTTTTTCCACTTTTGATTTTGGTATCGATACCATCGGACAATTTTAAACCGCAATAAATTAAATCAATATCGAAGAAAACAAATAAAAATAAGTTAAAATAAAGAGATCTATTAATTTTTGTTGTTTTACTTTTGACATGCGTCAAACTGTACGCCAAAAGTTTCATCTGTACAGTTCTGCAATAATAAATTGTTTTAAAATTGTGGCAGGTTGGGCTTTTGAAAATTTGAATAGTCGATCGGTAATAGAAGTTTTACATTACTTTGGAGGATCTGTTGCTATTGGCTGTTTTTCGGGAGACTGACTTTTCAGAGATGTAAGATCATTTTAAATAAAATTGACTCAACTTGCAGTCAATGTTATGTCAAATGCTATGTCAAATGCTATGTTATTAGACCGAAATCGCTCTTTTTTTAATCGTGCGTCTAAGATCATAATTTTTAAATTAATTTTCCAGTCTTGCGCTTCAAAAACTTGTCCATTTATTTTTCAAAATCCAGCTAACACCACCATTCTAGACATTTCCAATTTTGTCATACAAAATGAACTATTTTTCCCGGACTAAGTTTTTAAACATCGATATTATCGATAGCGTTATCGACTTTTTCCCAACCCTAATGCAAATTACCAAACTAATTTATTCACAATGACGAAATAGTGTCCAAAACGGGCTACGTAAACGAATCTCGACCTATGATGCAAATCAAACGACTACTCTGCAAGTCCTGCACCTTGGGCACCATGCTAGTAGCCGCTGTGTGGATCCTGGCCCTCCTACTATACAGCCACAATCTCAATAGCTCCATAAACACTGCTGGCTGGAAGTTCAACAAATCGAATGCTTCTCCCAGAGCCGAGCTTAGCTATCAGGCAAGGGTCACCAGTGGCTGCACTCCCAGCTCTTCCAACACTTCCACAGCAGCCGCAGCGGTTCCTGTGGAGCCGCTGGAGCTCCTGGGAGTGGTGCGAAACAAGCAGGACAAGTACATTCGTGACATTGGATATAAGCATCATGCATTCAATGCCCTGGTATCCAACAACATTGGCCTGTACCGCGAGATTCCGGACACGCGGCACAAGGTCTGCGACAGGAGCGAGACAAGCGAGGCGGAGCAACTGCCTCAAGCCTCGGTCATCATGTGTTTCTACAACGAGCACAAAATGACCCTGATGCGGTCCGTCAGGACAGTCCTAGAGCGCACGCCCAGCTACCTGCTTAAAGAGATTGTCCTCGTCGACGACCATAGCGACCTGCCCGAGCTGGAGTTCCACCTGCATGGCGATCTCCGCGCCCGTCTCAAGTACGATAACTTGAGGTACGTGAAGAACAACAAGCGGGAGGGCCTGATCCGCTCTCGTGTCATTGGCGCAAGAGAGGCCGTCGGAGATGTCCTGGTCTTTCTGGATTCGCACATCGAGGTGAATCGACAGTGGCTGGAACCGCTGCTGCGCCTTATTAAGGCGGAGAACGCGTCCCTCGCCGTTCCAGTCATCGACCTGATCAACGCAGATACCTTCGAGTACACCCCCAGTCCGCTGGTGCGTGGAGGATTTAACTGGGGATTGCACTTCAGGTGGGAGAACCTTCCCGAAGGAACACTCAAGGTGCCCGAGGACTTTCGTGGTCCTTTCCGCTCGCCCACCATGGCCGGCGGCCTGTTTGCCGTAAATCGGTTATACTTCCAGGACATCGGCGAGTACGACATGGCTATGGATATCTGGGGTGGCGAGAACATAGAGATCTCCTTTCGAGTGTGGCAGTGTGGCGGCGCCATTAAGATTGTGCCCTGCTCCAGAGTGGGCCACATCTTTCGGAAACGTCGCCCCTACACCGCTCCAGACGGGGCCAACACCATGCTAAAGAACTCCCTGCGCCTGGCCTACGTCTGGATGGACAAGTACAAGGACTTCTATCTCAAGCACGAGAAGGTGGCCAAGGATTATGACTATGGAGACATTAGCGATCGGCTGCAGCTGCGGGAGCGCCTTCAGTGTCGGGACTTTGAGTGGTACCTGCGAAACGTCTATCCGGAGCTTCATATACCAGGCGAGGAGCCAAAGAAGTCAGCATCTGGTCCCGTTTTCCAACCCTGGCACTCGAGGAAACGTAACTACATTGACTTCTACATGCTCCGGCTGGCGGGGACGGAGCTCTGTGCGTCCGTGATGGCACCCAAGGTGAAAGGATTCTGGAAGAAGGGCAGCTCCCTGCAACTCCAGCCATGCCGACGCACGCCGAACCAACTGTGGTACGAGACAGAAAAGTCGGAGATCATACTGGACAAGCTTCTCTGTCTGGAGGCCTCGGGCGATTCCCAAGTTATTATCAACAAATGCCACGAGATGCTGGGGGACCAGCAGTGGCGGCACACCCGCAACTCCAACAGCCCCGTCTACAATATGGCGAAGGGCACTTGCCTCCGAGCAGCGTCTCCGGCGGTGGGCGCCCTCATAAGTCTGGACCTGTGCTCCAAGACGGGTGGCCTGGGAGGCGCCTGGGACATTGTCCAGCAGAAGAAGGACGTGGACAAGGCGAATAGGGCGCTGTGAGCGGACGGTTTTGCAGGCGCAATACAATATTAGACTGATAACTGTTTAGGTGCAAAGTGTATTATGTTTTGTATTATGTATTATGTATTTTTGCATGAACTTTAATGATAACTATGGAAAAAAAAATCAAATAAAATCGCATTCAACGGACTTCCCATTGCAAATTGAGCCAGAAGGCTAATATCAGCGGCATAGAAACGAAAGTCATCATAGTACATACCTTGGCTAGGAAATCTGCATTTATGTTTTTGATTTTATTGCACCGCTGAAAGGCTTGCAGTCCTTCAACGTCAGATGTCAGTTAAATGGGCGGGAATCTTTTGCTGGAGTTTGATTGCTTGTAAATGTTGTAAATTTAAAGAATAAGTGAATGGAAAAAATGGATCAGAAAGGTCGGGGTACTTACAATGTCTATACAAAAAAGTTTTGTTCATATTTCTTAGTTTTTTTGTTTGTGTGTATTAATTTGGGCCTTCTAGAATCGGAGAAAACTTAACCAACTTGCCTGTCTATTCTGGTCCACAACTTTTTTCGTGCAATCTTGTGCCACTTACTAACTATGTTAAATTAATGTAAAAAGTGTATATTAACTAATGTATATTCAATTAATGATGAAAAATTTAAAAAGATTAATTTTTAATGGCTATTGTCTTAAATAAGCAGTAATAGAAGAAATATATAAATAATCATCAAAATCAACAGTAAAAATTGTTCGTTATATGGGCGGTAGTGGTGGACGTGATAGGATTGGTTTGAAATCTGTCTCAGTTCTTATATATATTAATACAATCAACTGTACCTAGTTTTAAGTTTAAGTCTCTAACATAATTTTTCGAATTTATGCCAAAAATTCGCCTGCCTGTGCGTTGGAGAGATAAAATTATAATTCCATTTCCAATTGATGGCAAACGTATTGGATTTCCCCAATAGATGAACAATTTTGACTAGTGTATTAAATATGAGTTATAACTTTGTAGGCACTAGGAAAATTGAAATAAAGTTTATTGTATTGGAATTTTTGCTGTTCAGGTTGCGCCTAACAGCACACTCTACATCCACAAACGAGGAATGTGTATAATATAACTTGAATTCGTCAGTATATTTACTGTATATTTTTTAAATGAGGCGGTATATTTTGGTATATTTCTGAGGGTCACACTGAATCAGCTGGATTTCGCATTTTTAATAAAAACCGGCGCGAAATTTTGTCATTTGTTTAAACCATAAAGCATAAAACATAAAACACCATGCAAGCCAAAGCAACTGAAAGCCGTCGGGAGCCAACGCTGCACATGGGTAAGTTCAAAGCATTCAAAGAAAACGAAAGTGCTGAAAATTCCTTTTCGTTTAGACACAAATGCGCGTCGCAATTTCATAAAGTACCATGCCAAGCTCGGCGAGGTAAGTCTTGCCCCGATGAGAATCAGAACATTCTAGCTTTTTTTTCACAGAAACCCAGCACCACAGTTCGCTTTTACGATCACTCGGACTGCTATACGGTTAACGGCAGCGATGACTGCGAGCTCGTGGCTAAGATTGTCTACAAGTCCACCGCGTTTATTGGGGCCCTGCTGCCCGACGACAAGGAGACTCTGCAGTTCGTGGCCCTGTCAAAGGGTAACTTTGAGATGGCAGTGCGGGAGCTGCTCCTGGTGAGGAATTTGCGCGTTGAGGTCTACGTGAAGCGTAATGAATGGCAGCTGGAGTACCGCGGGTCTCCGGGCAATCTGCTACAGTTCGAGGACATCTTGTTTGCCAACAAGGAGGTCTTAGTGGGCAACAACATGATCTCACTTCAGGTCAAACTCGAGGGTGGCGCCCAGCGACGCGTGGGTGTGGCCAGTGTGGAGCAGAATGATTGTCAGTTCCAATTGCTCGAGTTTCTAGACGATGACTTCTTTACGGAGCTGGAGGCTACTGTTGTCCTCTTGGGGCCGAAGGAGTGTTTACTACCCTCGGTAGAAGGAGAATATGTGCCAGTCAAAGCTTTGCTGGAGCGGAATGGTGTGATGATTACTGTGCCCAAGAAGAGCAGCGCCAACGATCTATTGCAGGACCTGAATCGTTTGTTGCGATTCGCCAAAGGTCAGCAAGAGGATGCCACCGGGCTGAAGGAGCTGCAAATGCTGCTGGCTTCGGAATCCCTAAAGGTGGCCATAAAGTACTTGGACTTGGTCAACGACGCTGGCAACTTGGGACACTACGAAATCAAGCAACTAGATCTAAAGCGGTGGGTATATGAAACGCTTCCGCAAACACTTTCAATAAAATGAGTTTTATTCCAGATTTGTCCATTTGGACTCGGCTGCTGTAGGTGCCTTAAACATTATGCCCAAGCCGGGGACTCATCCGTCCATGCCCTCGTATCGCTGGCAAAGCATTTTGGGTGTCCTGGATCACTGCAGAACTCCACAGGGCCACCGACTCATGGGAAAGTGGGTGAAACAACCACTGCGTAGCCAGGAGATTCTAAACGACCGTCATAACATCGTTGAGTGTCTTTTGGAGTCGTCAGATACCCTCGAGAGCCTTAGCTTAGATTATCTAAAGCGCATTCCAGACATTCTGATGCTGACGAAGAAGTTGATGCGTCGCAAAGCCACGTTGCAGGACCTGTTTCGCATCTATCAGGTCATATTACGAACTCCCAAGATTGTGCAGGTTCTGCTTAGTCTTGAGAACTCGACGGTCGAGAGTGTGATTTGCTCTCCCTTTAAAAGCTTCCTAGAGGATCTAACCGGGCTCAAGCAGATGGTCGAGCAAGTAGTCGACTTTGAGGCGATCGAAAGGGGAGAGTACCTGGTCAAATCCTCCTTCGACAGCCGCCTGATGGAGCTCCAGCAGACGATGAATGAGTTGTACGACAAAATGGAGCGCCTGAAGTCCAAATGCAACGATGAACTGGATCTGGACAGCAAGCAGATCAAGCTGGAGAATGTGGCCAAGTTGGGATACCATTTCCGTACAACCCTGAAGGATGACTCTGTGCTTCGCAAGAATAAAAACTATCGCATCGTAGACGTGATCAAGGGCGGTGTGCGCTTCACCTCCGACAAACTGGAGGGCTATGCCGATGAGTTTGCCAGCTGTCACAGTCGCTACGAAGAACAGCAACTATCGATCGTTGAGGAGATCATACAGGTCGCTGTAGGCTACGCTGCTCCATTGACCTCTCTTAACAATGAACTGGCCCAGCTGGACTGTTTGGTCAGCTTCGCTATCGCCGCCCGCAGTGCTCCCACTCCCTATGTCCGTCCCAACATGCTAGCAGAAGGAGCTGGGAAACTGGTTCTGACGGATGTGCGTCATCCCTGCCTGGAGCTGCAAGAACATGTTAGCTTCATAGCCAACAGTGTTTCCTTCAAGAAGGGTGAGCTCAATATCAAAGTTATAAACCTATGAGGAAACATTTGAATGCGTCTGATATGCATCTGTTTAGACAAATGCAACATGTTCATCATCACGGGCCCCAACATGGGCGGAAAGAGCACATACATACGCTCAGTTGGGACTGCCGTACTGATGGCCCATGTTGGTGCCTTTGTGCCTTGCGGCATGGCCACCATCAGTATGGTGGATTCAATTCTGGGTCGTGTGGGAGCCAGCGACAATATTATAAAGGGCTTAAGTACTTTCATGGTGGAGATGATTGAGACTTCGGGTATTATAAGGGTAAGTGCATGTGAGCTTCTTTTTATGTTAGATGTTAAAGGTCTCTTTCTCCCCAGACTGCTACTGACAAGTCATTGGTCATTATCGACGAGTTGGGACGCGGAACATCGACCTACGAGGGATGTGGGATTGCCTGGTCAATTGCCGAGCATTTGGCCAAGGAAACCAAATGCTTCACGCTCTTCGCCACCCACTTCCATGAGATTACCAAGCTGGCCGAGACTTTGCCAACAGTAAAAAACTGTCACATGGCTGCGTTGGCCGACGCCGACAACTTTACGCTGCTCTACCAGGTGCGTCCTGGTGTGATGGAGAAGAGCTTTGGGATTCAGGTGGCCCGTCTCGCAAACTTCCCCGAGGATGTGGTGCAGAATGCCCAGGAGGTATACAATGAGTTTGAGGACGAGCATGCAGACAAAAAGAACCAGGAAGACAAGGCATTGCTTGAGAAGATTCAGGTCGCCATTCAGCAGCTCTCGACGGCTGGCAACAATACGGAAATAAATGTAGAGGACCTTACTCAGCTGGTCACACAGTTTACGCAGGACATCAAGCAACTAGACAGCGACTACTTCAAGTCTGTTTTGGCCTCCACCGAGGCTTAGGTATTGAAGGTTGTCTAAGATTCAGCTAAGATTTAGCGATGTAGCAGTATTACTTTGATTTTGGAATACAGTGCAGGAATACCAATTCCATAAGTTCACATCCCACTTCATTATTTAAACATGTATTGGTCTTTTTATTTACTTAATAGTTGTAGGTTCTTTTTCCTTCATATTTTTCTTGGTTTGTGTACATCTTTTTTTTTGTCAGTTTTAAACCGCTTTTTGTTTTAAACATCAAAAGTTCGAATTCGCACGAACGTCTATGCATTTATATTGCTAAGGAAATTTAAAATTGTTTATCATTTTCAGTTTCAGTGGACATTTCTTGTACAATGTGTATACGTGTCGAATTTCAAAAGGTAGTAATTAATAAGAGCGATAAACTCAAAGAGATGAATACTCGTATTACAATATGTGTTCTTTATGAATTTGCAGCAAATCCACGTATACCGTTATAAGTAGATTTAGTTTCGTAATAGTTTTATACATTTTACAACGTTTAAACACTCCAAAAAATAAATATTGTATTAGCATTTTGGTTGGTTTAAAAAATTACATTTAATAGTTAACTGTTTACTTTTCAATTATCCTTACTCCTCACTGTCGGCTCCTCCTCAGCACCGCTTCGGGGACGCGTCCCCCATTTTGATTTCATTCACTTGAAAATAATCTTAATTTAAATTGTTTTTTTTTTCGTTTAACACTCGTCTACTTTTGTTTTCAGTTTTCAATGCATAAATTCATAAAGTTCATAAAATGTTTCCACATTCGAAATACGATACAAAGGCAATTAGGTTTTGGTATTCAATTTGGGATTCGTTTTGGTTTTTGTTTCTCTCCTTTTGTGTGTAACTGTTGCTAAGATTTTTGACTAAGTGAGAGGCCAGAAAAGAACAATGAAGAAACTTATCATCAATGATTGAGGGAAGGGAACAAGTATTGCATACTCGTACTGTTCAGGTGGTCTTATTCGGGTGTTATCAATCTGTGCACTCTTTCATTGTTAATTCTGCTCGTTACAAAATAGGGTCAATTTAATAAAATACACAATACGGTACAAAACAACTGGGAAACATGTTGCCATGTAAACGTTAAATATAGTACATATTTGTAATTAATTAACACATTTGTGTATAAATCCATTTTGATTGTAAACAAAAAGCTAACCAATTTCGGTCTTTTTCGGTTGGGGCAAAAGGGACGAAATATTTATAATATTCTTAAGGGTGAGTGTTTATGGGGTTCGTGTGCCTTCTCATTAATATTT